ATGCTTCAGTGGTTGATTCCCAAGTTCAGGATCATTAATCTTACTATCAATAGCCATTTATTAAAGGCCAGTCACAGTACTAGGGACTGTAGGAGACACAGCAATGTAACAACATTGATCCTGTATTCGTGGAAACTTTAAGTTTCCTCCTGCGACCAGGAATTATGGCTTCCTTCTCACAGCTAAACTTCTAAAGCGCGCGCGCGCGCACACACACACACACACACACACACACACAAAGAATGAGATTAGTCATTTAGAGAATAACCTAAAATTCCAGAGTCTTCGGGGATGATTGAGGGGTTTGAGAACATCCCAAACTCCAATCAAGGGAACCTAGGCTAAAAAAACCAAAAAAACAGAGGACTAAAACATACTCATGACTTAGGAAGTACATACTTAATCGAATACACTGTATCTGATTTGTATCACATACTGTGCAAATGGTAACAGATTGATCAGCCTTGGCCACAGAACCAGTAGCTAGAACATGCATAGAACATCCGGGAAGATCAGAGATGCTTGGTCTGATTAAGACTAACAGTATGTTAGGACAGAATACATCTATCAGAACTCACCATGGTTTGGATCAAACACCACTAGACACTACTCTCATATGTTCACTCACCACATAACCTTCAGATTACTAATTCTTTTTCTGGTTATGAAAAGCAGTGCCCTAGGTTGTTATATGCTCACTGGAATGGTTTGCCCCCACTTTATCTCCACCTTGTGGAGTCTGCTCAATATGAGTCCAATCAACCCTAAATCACGGGTGCTCCCCCAGGAAGTAATTTGGAAGACAGCAGCATTCAGCCACCTCCAGGGGCATCTTTCTCCTTCTTTCAGAACACAGAAACTGACTCTATCTCCATAAAGCAGACTTGTCTAAACATTAATTTTAGAAAGATGAAAATACTTTAAAATTTACGAATCGTATTTATTCTTAACAATAGATGTAGTCTTTTCTGTTGATATGAGAAGCTCCTTAGATGATTTGTACCAAATTATCTATTCCTATGTTTCTCTGGTATGAATAGAGCACTTTTAGTAAATGTCTTCATCAACAGAGATTTTTCTCCTAGAAGCTAATGAGAGAATTCTGTAATCACCAGGAGCTTCATCCCTGACTAGGCATGCCCTATCTATAGTGAATAATTTATGAAAACTGTCTTTAGATATACACTTTGGATCTTTATTTAGGCAACAAATAAATCAAGGTGTGATCACATGAGTGGCTTAGAGCCAGTTTTAGGTCTCTCTAAAATGACGAAAGCATGATACAAAGTCTGTGGCCTCTTGTGAGCTTTTCCCAGTCACTCTTCTGTATCCCAAGGTCACTCTTGATGCCCTACTTTCAGCGCCCCAGGCTCACACTGCACACGGGGCTGGCAGTGGCTTGTTGGAAGGTACACTGGAAAGTTTCCAATTCCCTGTCTTGGCAGATGACCAAAGTTAAAAGTACTGTGCATCTTTCTGAGGAAATATTTTTAAAAGTAAATGACTATTGTTAGCTGTTACACAATTCTACCATAAAATTAGATTATGTCTTCCTTTTAGTAATTGCCCATCTAAAGTTCTGCTTAGATTTTCATTGGAAAACGGCTCCTTCCATCTTTCTTCCATAACTGAAGGTATCTGACAATTCATTCCTTTTTTTAACTTTAAATAAATTTGTATTACATAAAGGCTGTCCCATAATTGGGTATTCCTCTACTTTGTACACAATTTATTCTTACTCTCCACAGAAAAGCCTCTCCTTAACTTCTCATCCGCTGTTAGCAAGCACTAAAATCCTGATTTTAACAGCATGGTAGTAAAAATGCCTCAGTGATTTAAGCTGAAAGCAGTTCATTGGTATGTGGCTCTTTCACCCAATATCAGGAATGTACAAATGTCTTTTTATTCAAAAATACAAAACAAATTATTAGTAGGCATGGACAATGACAGTAAACTGCTACTTATTGTCAGTTGAAACCAGTAACTGATAGTTGCAGTAATTTTTTAAAAAACATCACCCAGCCTTTTCTTCATTTTCTTCAAATGACTTCTCTGTAGTTAATGGTGAGAAATACTGCCTTGAGCTCTCTATCACAGTTCATTAATAAAGGTAAAGCCCTATTCTAGGAATCAGAAATGCCAACTCCCATTCCACCCACTGCACCCATTCCAGGGTCCTTCTCTTCTTTAGGAATTTCTGTGACTACAACTTCTGCTGTAATTAACAGAGAGGCCACTCAGCAACGTCTAATAAAGCAGTTCTCACATCCTTCATTGGGTCAATGATTCCTTTCCACCATATTCACAAAATCCCCAACCACAGCTCCACAACCAACTTCTGAGGAACATCGTGTAATTGTCTCAAGTACCACAGATCCTTCAACACCTGCATTCTTAACAGCTTTCATTGTCAGAATGTTGACTATTCTTTTAATACTTTCTATACTAATTTTTAATTTTCATTAGTTGGAGTTAATGAGTCCGAGGTTGGAATGCACAGAAGCAAGGCACAACCCCGTCCCAGAATGATGTCTTCTTCAAAGAAGCTCTTATAGCATTAAGAGTAACTGTCTTTCTTTTCATTCATTGTGACATCACTTGTCACATCAACCTTCAGCACAGCTAGCTACTTCATTTGAAAGTTTTGCCGGGCGCGGTGGCTCAAGCCTGTAATCCCAGCACTTTGGGAGGCTGAGGTGGGTGGATCACGAGGTCGAGAGATCGAGACCATCCTGGTCAACATGGTGAAACCCCGTCTCTACTAAAAAAAATACAAAAAAATTAGCTGGGCATGGTGGCATGTGCCTGTAATCCCAGCTACTCAGGAGGCTGAGGCAAGAGAATTGCTTGAACCCAGGAGGCGGAGGTTGCGGTGAGCCGAGATCGCGCCATTGCACTCCAGCCTGGGTAACAAGAGCGAAACTCCGTCTCAAAAAAAAAAAAAAAAAAGAAAGAAAGTTTTGCCATTCATTCAGTTTTTCCTCTTCATATTCACTAGCTGTGATATCTAACTGCTCAATGATTTCTTGAATACAGTTTTCAATTCAAGACTTGTCACCATTTCCTTTGAAGAGCGTAACATCGCTTTTGGTCACAATGACCTCTCCAATTTTTCCTGTGTTATGAGGCTGAACATCTTCAGGATTTAGGATCAACTCAACTTCTCCAAACACTGCACCACCAGCAGCAATAGCTGTATCTTTAAGCTGATTCTTTCTATTGTCAAAGCAAACCTGGGGCTTTCATGGTTACAACCTGAAGACCAACTTTGAGCCTATTCAAAATGAAGGTTGGTAGATCTTTTCCATCAACACCTTCAGCAATTATAGCCAAAGGCTTATAGTGAGTACTGGCAATTTCAAGGGCAGGCACAATAGACAGGGCACTAGACATTTCTGTTTCATGCAACAGAATATAGGCATCCTTGAATTCATGTTTCTGATCTTTCGATGTATTAATAAGTTAATTTACTACATCGAAAATTTAACCTAATTATTTGATGTATTAATAAGGTATGCAAAAATTAGATATGGTGCTTCTGATTCACCATTTAATGTTTTTCCATCCTTTTACTGTGATGACAGCCTTTCTTTCAACCTTTCTCATTGCTTCAGAAATGATGCTGCTGGTTTCTTTATCTCTATTTGCAGAAATTGCAGCAACCTGAATAATTTCTTCAGGGGCTGTCACAGGTTTAGACTGCTTCTTAAGTTCAGCAATTAGAGGATCAACAGCTAATCATGTTTCCTGATTTTCACTGGATTAGCACCTCTGCTAACCTTCCTGAAGCCTTTCTTGACCACAGGGCATGCCAGTCCAGGAGCAGTGGTGGTGCCATCCCCAGCCTCTTCATTTGTGATACTGGCAACATCTTGAACAAGCTTAGCTCCAATATTTTTATATTTATCCTCTAAGCCAATTGACTTTGCGACAGTCACATCATCTTTTGTTACTCTGGGACGTACCCAGCTCCATTCAATAATCACAGTTCTTTCCTTTGGTGCCACTGTAGCAGCTATGGCATTGGCTAAAAGGTCAACATTTTGAAGCATTAAGGCTCAGGCACCTGCACCAAATTTTACATCTCTGGCATAGGCCCAAGTGAGATGAGGAGCCAGTATCCTGATATCAGTCTCATCTGCGTTAAGACTGTGGGTAATCCAAGTATTTCTGCAGGGCAGGGGCAGAGCTTGTGCAGTCAGGCAGGTCAGTGGCCAGTGAGGAACAGAGTGCAAGATGCACAAGGCGATGAGCCCGTGTCCCCTGCCTCCACTTCTCCCCCAGACTGGCGGCACCTGTATGCTGGCAGCTCCCACCACATTCTTGAGATCTTAGTCTACTAAAGTGACAAAATTATCCAAGCGAGTAATCAATAATGGACAATCAAACAGCTCATCTTCATTAAAATTAGGTAGCCTTACTTCCTTACAGAGATAAGCAGCAGCTCTCAGTTGCTTTGGTGATGAAATTCAAAGAGTGCTGTGAGTAATAAATGCAGCAATAGTGCGGGTGCCCGAGGTGGGCCAGGCATAACCCTCAATCCTTTTGCTCAAAAGAAGCAGAAGACAGCTGAATAAAATCATGGCCAATTACTTTTGCTCAAATAAAAAGGAAGAGAGCTGAATAAAATAAGCTAGAGGCAACATGATTTTAAGGGGGTTAGCACCAGATGTAGCAAACACTAGGATCTTGAAGAAATACACACAAAATATATGATAAAATATTACAGATCATCCCGTCTCTTGCTAGGCTCTAAAAGTTGATGAAGCATATGGCAAAAGAAAAAAAAACAAAGGGAAATATAAATTTCTTTTCTCATGTTAATAAAATACTTCCTATTTACCTGGAAGATTTTGTTGACATTAAGGTAATATTAATCTACATCCTGTAATAGGGAATAATCATTCTTTCACACCAAAAATTCAAACCTTAAGTAGAAAGCAAGGAAAGAAAACAAGAAATAAAAATGAATCATAAACTTCACAAAAGTTGATCCATACCTTGAATTTCAAAGACAACATCGGCAAGCATCGGCTTATTAAGGAAAAACTTGAGGGAAGTGCTATAAAACCACAGAGGTTTTCTGGCTTGATAGGTTTTGCAATTCCTTAGGCAATTAATCTACAAGGGAAAACACAAATACAGGAGAATGGTTGTTTAATATGCTTTGATAACACATAGGCAAGGTTGAGAATTTGGAAAACTGTGCTAAATCTCTAAAGAAATATGATTCCCCAATCTGTGGCATCTCTGATCATAGGATTCAAGGGAACTTACCTTCAAGAAGTGTATGGGATCAAAAAAATGAAAATAAAAAGGGACTTTATGGGCTGCCTGTCAGTGAACAACACTGCTCTCTTCAGCATTTGCAGCAGTAAATGAATTGCCTAAGTGAAAACTCAACTCCACTGGCTGAGAAGATGCAAGGTTCTGAAACCTTGTGAGTCTCTGTCGGGAAACAGACAAGAGTAGTCCAACCCCATACAAATTCCTACTAAAATATGCTTACACATATAACCTAATGTGTTCATTAAGAAAGTACTTGATTTGTAATTGAGAAAAATACATTTTTCAGCCAGGCACAGTGGCTCATGCCTATAATCCCAGCACTTTGGAGGCCAAGGTAGGTGGATCACTTGAGGTCTGGAGTTTGAGACCAGCTTGGGCAACATAGTGAAACCCCATTTCTACTGAAAATACAAAAATTAGCCGGGCATGGTGGCATGAACCTGTAATCCCAGCTGCTTAGAAGAGGCAGAATCACTTGAACCTGAGGCAGCAGAATCACTTGAACCTGGGAGGCGGAGGTAGTGAGTTGAGACTGTGCCACTACACTCCAGCCTGGTGACAGAGTGAGACCCTGTCTCTGAAAAAAAGTACATTTTCCCCTTATCACACCATATTCTTTTTCTACTTACTAGCTTAACACTTTCTCTTAAAGGAGTAGACATTTAAAAAATAACTGAGAGTTATGAATTGGTTCGCCTCCAACTTTTTTTAGATGGCGTCTTGCTCTGTGGCCCAGGCTGGAGTGCAATGGCGCGATCTTGGCTCACTGCAACCTCTACCTCCCAGAAGAATCCCAAGCGATTCTCCTGCCTCAACCTCCCAAGAAGCTGGGACTACAGGTGTGCACTACCATGCCTGCTTAATTTTTTTGTAGAGACAGGGTTTTGCCATGTCTCCCAGGCTGGTCTCAAACTCCTGACCTCAGGCAACTGCCCTTCTCAGCCTCCCAAAATGCTAGGATTACAGGTTTGTTTCACCTCCTTACCCAGCTGGTTCACCTCCATCTTAATCTCCAGTCCTATAGTCCTAATTGTCCTTCCTACTCATAGCAAAGTCCACCGGAACCTATAAAGAGTTTCCTAGGTTTCTGATCCGGCGTTTCAGAGACCTTCTCCCTTGACACCTTGTCTGTCTCGTCACACCTGGCTGGAGCTGGTGGGTCCAAAAGCAGCCACTCTGTCTGACTCAGACTTCAGTGCTCTAGCCTTTCTGTGGTCTTCAGGCATTCCCTTTGTGCCAATCCTGGAAGTCAAGGGCCAGCCTCCCTTTCCATACCCCCCACCCATTTCTTTTCTTTCTTTCTTCTTCTTCTTTTTTTTTTAAGTTTACTCTCTCTATTTACAGTAAATAAGCAAAATAAGCCTGAATTTTTTCAGGTAGTGTTACCCAAATGATGATAAAATAATAAGTCATTTTAAATGACTTATTATTTTAAAATAGGTTTCACCAGGACTGCAATCTTGCCTAAAGTCTACATTGTTCCTTAATTTGGAATGATTTAGTTATGATTTTTATTGAAGTATCATATTTTATTCACTTTAAATTCTGAGTCTCTGCCCATTCCCCCTGCTGAATCTCAGAACCCCAGACCTGGTCAGAACTCTAATTCTCTGCTTGGCTAGCTAGGGAACTCTGAAAGCTTTATCCCTAAGAAATAACATACAACCTTAGCAGTAGTAAGAATAAATGACATCTACTTTTCACTCTAAATTAATCTACTATGGTGGGAAGTTTAAAATCTTTGATGAGGGGGAGAAAATGATACTATTCTTCCTCCTAAGGCAGAAGAAGACATTCCAGGAAGGTATCCATGAGCAAAACAGAGAGATAAAACAGAATCATACAAATCCTGGTCCTATAAAGTCATTCTCAGATCCTATACACAACATACCATCCTACACATGGAAGAAATTTGGTTATGGGAGTCAAGTGACTGCCACGCATAAAGAAGAGTAACAGTCAAAAAGCGTCACCGAAATGGAGAGCCCAGAGATGCTTCAGAAACCATTCAATTTATCCCTCATTTTATAGAAGCCGTAACTTAACTCAAAGCCACAGAGATGATTTGTGGCAGAGTCACAACTGTGACCTACATTTCCCTAGTCCAATGCAGGGTTACATCCCTATGTGGTACTCAGTGAAAGAGAGAGCACCTAACCCTGGGAAAGTGCTGGAAGAAGGGGTCAAAGAACTCTTCTATCCCCCCATGCAGAGGAGGGAATTCAGTGTAACATCATGGAATCATATCACCCAGCCTTCCCCTTTCCCAACAAGAATTCATTTTATTCTCAGTATTCCAAGGAATGTGTTCAGAATCAGACTTAAGAAAAGGTTCAGGGTTAGAAGGAAAGGCAACATTTCTGTACTTGTCAGCCATATACAGGTTATGAATTTTTTATAGATGTATGCTATTTTATAGAATATTTTATAGGTGTATATTACACATGAATGTATAGAGAGAACTGGAGAGTTAGAGAATCTATAAACAGATTCCTTCATCAATTTTGTCTTGAATTTGAAAAAGATGGGAGGGCAGAAGTTTGGAGAGGGGACAAATGAAAGTAAGGTACAGTTTCGCTGGTCCATGAACAAGTTAATCAAGACAACTAGATTAACTGTTGAAATGAGAATGTAGGCATATGTGGACATTTTTACAAAGGATTATTTAGTTGAATTAGATCGCAAGAGCTACTGTCCTGCCATAGACTTGTAAAACTGGACAGCTTCTGTATACCTGCTTCAATGTGTTACTAAAAAAAAAAAAAAAAAAAACTTACCTCTTAATTCTACTTTGTTTACAAAAAAAGACTATTTTTCAATAAAGAACAATCAAGAATCTTTACTAAAAGCTAGTACAGTTTTACATTTGTAAAATATTAACTTTAAAATGTTAATAACAGGTTTTAGAAGGCAGAGAAGTTACCTGTATTAAAAATTAAAGGAATAATCATTTTTCTCACAGTATATACCTATATTTCACTAAGCATTGCATATAACTTACCTTATTTATCTACTGCAGTCAATTTGCATATTCCAAAATCAGAAAAAACAATACATTGGCTAAACTGTATGTCTTAAAATTTTTTTAATGTTTTTTAAAACCCTACAGACTATACAATCCAAGTAACTAGAGTTCTAATGTGCACTAGTCTTTGGCAATATACAGTCTGTTTTTATAAACTTGAATCCAATTTTTAACCTATTATTGATGAGATAATGCTTAACTGTTCACATTGTTGAATCGATTTCTCAGAACACTTGAAAAGGGACACGCAAAACTGCCTTCCTCTCAAAAACTATTTGAGACTTAAGTTGTGAGGAGTTCGAAGATTCCCCCTCTAATAACCTTAACTGTACCTGGACAAATTAAACAGCCTTTTATTCTTGCTATAGATGGTGTATTCCCAGAGCTCCAGGGGAATGTTTCAGAAGGCAGAATTCATAAACAAGTATTTTAAAGACATGACTCACACGTATTTTAATTTTTGCATAAGTTAAAATCTAAGATAGGGCCGAGTGTGATGGCTCATGCCTGTAATCCCAGCTCCCTGGGAGGCGACAGCAGGCAGATCGCTTGAGCCCAGGAGTTTGAGACCAGCCTGGACAACATGGAAAAACCCTGTCTCTAGAAAAAACATAAAAATTAGCCAGGTGTGGTGGTGCACATCTGTAGTCCCAGTTCCTCAGGAGGCTGAGGTGGGAGGTATCACTTGCACCCAGGAGGTGGAGGCTGCATTGAGCCAAGATCATGATACTGCACTCCCACCTGGGCAACACAGTGAGACCCTGTCACACACACTCCCACACCCCTAACACACAAAATCTAAGATACAAATAACCCATGTTTATGTTTTAAATATTTAAATGGCAAAATATACTTAAGAACAACATTGGCCGGGAGCGATGGCTCACACCTGTAATCCCAGCACTTTGGGAGGCCGAGGTGGATGGATCATGAGTTCAGGAGTTCAAACCTGACTGGCCAACATGGCGAAACCCTGTCTCTACTAAAAAAATACAAAAATTAGCTGGGCATGATGGCACGTGCCTGTAATCCTAGCTACTTGGGAGGCTGAGGTAGGAGAACTGCTTAAACTAGGACTCAGGAGGTGGAGGTTGCAGTGAGCTGAGATCATGCCACTGCACTCCAACCTGGGCTATAGAGTGAGACTCCATCTCAGAAAAGAAACATTTAGATTTATATAGTATATGACTCTTCTAAAGACTCAATTTTATATTCATCATAGTATGTGAGTTATAATTCAAAGAGTCAAAGTAAACTAACTTACAGAAAATTAATTTACCTTTCCTGGTGTTTTTAAAATACATTTAACTTTCTCAATTACATTTGAAACATCCCCAGAATCTTTCAACTTCTTCCTGATATCTTCTTCCAATTCTTCCCACTGAAAAGCACCTGTGAACAAATTAGTACATGCTGAATTTTTCTGTTAAATCAGGAAGAAAAGTAAATCTTTTATTAAATACCAACGTTCCCTTTATAGTGCTTTCTTTTAATTTTTCTTTACCATGTATATATCCTTATAATTATACTAAAACATTTAAACAGCACTCATATTTCAAAAAAAATCAGTTTAAACTTGCTCTAAATTATTTCTCAAAATCTGAAGTCTTCCTTTCTGGACTGCTGCTACCTCTCTGTAATAGGTGGCTGGCTACTGACAACAGCAATGGTCAGAATGAGTTAACATGACAAGTGGACCAGCACCCAAATTATTTACTTGCCCTGAGTAAGAAGGTAGATGTGGTCTTTCCCAAGGGTGAATGAAATCTTACTAGTCATGGACAGCAGTGACTATCATCAGGTAGAGGAGCATGCAGCAGCAACAGCATGCATTCAGAAGGTCTCATGCATTGTCAGGGTCAGACTGGGATGTCTGAGAGCCAACTCTACAAAACCAGCCTGAGGAAGGGAGGTACATCATTTCCTGATGCACTAAACGATCATGTCATTGGAGCAAAATCACCCCGCCATCCCTTGCCTTTCGCCAGCCCACTTCAAAACCCTCTTCCTAGGCTCATTTAACTTCTCCCATTCTGTCAGCCCCTTTTCCTCTATGTCTTACAAAATTCTTATTCTATGGTCAGCAAAAGCTGACCTTTTCCCCAAGGACTTCTCTCACTTGGCCTACAGCAACCTCCTATCCAAGCTCCCTGCTCCCTAAGGCCTTTTTCCCATCAAGTCTATCCTATTACTCTAAGCTGGTGAGTTTTCGTTTTGTGTTTTTGTTTTTGAGACAGAGTTTGGCTCTTGTTACCCAGGCTGGAGTGCAATGGCGCGATCTCGGCTCACCGCAACCTCCGCCTCCTGGGTTCAGGCAATTCTCCTGCCTCAGCCTCCTGAGTAACTGGGAATACAGGCACGCACCACCATGCCCAGCTAATGTTTTGTATTTTTAGTAGAGACGGGGTTTCACCATGTTGACCAGGATGGTCTCGATCTCTTGACCTCGTGATCCACCCACGTTGGCCTCCCAAAGTGCTGGGATTACAGGCTTGAGCCACCGCGCCCGGCAGCTGGTGAGTTTTCAAAAGCAGGAGTCTGATCATGATATTCCAAGAGATTACCCTCATCCATCCTATGATTTACAGAAGGTCCTAACTCATAAAAATATAATTCAAGAAGCCTACTTGGGCAGTACAGTTAGGAGACCTAGGATCCAGTTCTATCTCAGCTATTAACTACTAGGTGACAAGTCACTTCACTTCTCTGTTCTATCTGCTCTTAGTTTATTTCTTCCCATGTTTTCCTTCAGGTATTCAGCAATCACCAGATACCTCCACGGATATTGGGGAATGAAGCAGGCACATAAACACTTATTAAACCAATGAGATCAGGTGATTGCAGCCAGTCTGTATCAACTGGAATGAAATCCAATCGGAAGGGGCAGATTGCAAGTCCAGAAGCTCTCAGGCTCTTTACAGCTGAGCCCTGCAGCACTGAGCACTCTTGCACACCCTTTCAATGTCTCCCTACCTGGCCCTCCTAATACTTACAGTGTGTCCTGGGAGAGGGGGTCAAATGATATGTAGCATTTGCCATTTTTGTGATGCTACCAACATGACATCGCACAACAAGGAAAAGGGAATGATAAGCACACTGGGCTCTCACAAGCTGGCACCAGCTCTGGTACACCACTGCTTCTTTCTGCCTTTGCTAGCTCTTTTTAGGCCTTCACTGATTGTTGCCTTTCTCCTCAAATTCCCAAAGCTGTGTAGTCTAGAAGAGCACTGTGATTTCAGTTTTTCTCTTTCTGCACAAATGTATTTTAACTTTGTGGCCACATCCTCTTTTCTCAATCTGATAAATTCTTTGGATTGTATCACCAGGAAATTTTATGTGCACACACAAACATTAAAGTCAGTATAACAATATCACAGAACATAAGAACCCCTTAGAAGCCAGCGGATCCCAGATCAAGAAAAGTACTCTATGCCAGTGATTATTAACCATACCTGTGTATTATATATACCTGGCATTTTTTACAAAATGCCACCAGAGGAGGTCTCATCTCTAGATCAAGTAAATTAGAATTTCTGGGGCTGAAGCCTCTGGCATCAGTGTTTTAAAATCCTCCCTGGTGACCCTAGTGTGCATTGTGTGCTGCTGCCAGCCACTACTTTCCCTTCAGAAATTTCAGCCACTGAGTTCGAGACCAGTCCGGCCAACATGGAAAAACCCTGTGTCTAAAAAATACAAAAATTAGCTGGGCATAGTGGCATGCTCCTGTAATCCCAGCTACTTGGGAGGCTGAGGCAGGAAAATTGCTTGACCCCAGGAGGTGGAGATTTCTGTGAGCCATGATCATGCCACTGCACTCCAGCCTGAGTGACAGAGTGAGAATTTGTCTCAAAAAAAAAAGAAGGGAAAGAAATTTCAGCCATTACACAAACACACAGTTAGTGGTATGCAGGAAACAGAAGATGTAGGTATTTTTTATTGTCTATACTCATACAGTCTAAAGAAGAACACAAGTACTGTCTCTGTGTTCTTTAACACTTACATATGTGAAAGTTACATTAAGTTATTTAAGCAAAAGCATATTAACTAAAAACCATCCACAAAATATCTCCATTCAGAAGATTATCTAAAAGCAAGCAAGCATCAAATAATCTAAATAGCTGGAATTAGTAGCAGGTAAATCCCCACAGGCCACTGAGCTGTCTGAGAACATTCACGGGAAGAACCAATCACTGAAATGAAAGTAAGACTAATTTTCAAGAGCACATTAATGATTGTGCTGTTTTCATAATTAGAAACATTAATCAAGTCATCTTTGGCTCTTTGAGGCTTTTAGGTCCTAATAAATCAGTACTACTAAGGCTGGGACTTTCCTTTTATTTTTCCTATGGTAAAAACATGTAACATCAGATTTACCCTCTTAGCAAATTTTAAGTGTATAATACAATATCATTAACAATATGCACAATGTCATACAGCAGGTGTCCAGAACTTATTCGTCTTGCATAACTTTACTGATTGACTGCAGACAAGGGCGGGATGACATCTTGCATTACTGACTGGGGTTTTCTTTAGTTAACTTCTTAAAGCACTGAATTCACTTAGACTTCAGAGCTCATGGTATACTCATGTATATACTCACGTATACCAGCCTGTGTTTTTATGCAATACAGAAAAGAGCATGCCACGGAAAAATTCTAAGAACTGGAGAATGCTATGCAAACTGAAGATGAAAGCTTGCTTCTACATATTTATCTACTCGGATGGCATTTCAATAAGTGATGTGAAACTCCAAGGGCCATCTGTGGCAGGAAGAGCTCAAAGCTAAATTCTTAAGGTTCTTACAAATACTTCATTTCCTAACCATCTGAGATCATGTGACTCAGGAATGTGTAAGCATAAGACTGTATCAAGTATTATAAGAATGTTACAATTGTATGCCATGTAAGAATTACTCCCTGAAGACCAGGAAAGGCTGGCCTCACTTATCACATTACACCTTGTTCCTTAAGATTAGTCATTAAGTACTCATACATTATGCAGTGTTTGTTATTATTCAATAGAAAACTAACATATATAAAACAGACATACCTTGACTGTTGAATCAAAAATTTGAATAGGAATATGTAGGTGTAAAATATTAACTGGACTGTTGTTAAACAGGTCCCTCCTAAATAAAGAACCAAATATTCATGGTGACACAATACACACCAAATTTCAAATGCCTAAAGGTTAAAAAAAGCATGTTATTTAAAAAGAATAAAGATATTCTTTGTAATTTGGTTATTTAAAAAAAAATAAGGACAGGAAATAGGCTTACTGTAATTTTCTAGCCCATGTTTGCTCAGGGCAAATATTCCTGAGCCCACGAGGGAGTTCAACCTCTGCATTACCAACCCAACTGATGAGAACACAAACAAACAACTCCTGTGCTCAACAGGTCCCCAGCATAACCCGAGGGCAGACCACAGCACTTCTGTGGGAAAACCACCGCATAGCTGTGCCTTAACATGTGTTCCACTCACAGGCTTAAAAATGTTAAAAACTACAACAAAAAAACAGCCCTGGCCCCTTTATTGAAGGCTCTGAGAAAAATGTAGGTTTAAAGCTTTTTGTTTCATTACAAAATATATTTTTTCAAAAACAGTCACTTATTCATATACAAACAAATGACTAGAGGATAAAACAAAACAATAAATGTTTAGACGTTTTCTACCGATAGCAGAATCTGGGTAAATTTTTTTTCTCTTAATTTTCTGCATTTTTCAAAATTGTCTTTTCTGTGCAAACACAGCTTTGACATCTTTTTAACATTATGCAAACGACACTTTTCCTTGAGCTAGAGTTTGTAATCTGTAAACAATTAAATAGGTACCTGCAGAACCAGTTATTTTCCCTTTTCCTCAACCAGCATCTGGGTCTCTGCAGCCCCAGGTCAATGGCCTGTGCCCCTGGACAGCACCTCCGGCTCTGGCCGTGACGTACAAGGAGAGATCACAGCCAAAAATAGGACGAGTCAGTGTCAGGTTAAGAAACCAGGACTCTCAGCTGGTTGAAAGATCTGTAGCTCAGCAGGTTCTCCACAGCATCAAGCCTGCTTGCCCTCCAACTCCTACTCCAGACTTACTTAGATTCCACCCAATCACTAAGCATCCACTTTTCCTACCATCAGGCAGGGGACACAACAGGGCACTGGAGAGCCCCAGTTCCGAATAGCTCTGCATCGATCAGCCTTGCAGCTCACTCCATTTTTACTCTGAATCCTAAGCCGATAACTTGGTAACCTTCCTAGGCCTCTGCATTGAATTCTAGGTCTGAATTTGCTGGATTTGGCTGGTTCCCAGTTCTTCCAAAAGCAGATACTCCAGCTGCTTCTGGTAGTCCAGAGATCCAGCACCACCCGGGAGACAACTGGAAATGCAGAATTTCATGCCCCACTCCAGCAGTTGAATCAGAATCTCCACAGGAACAAGATCTTCAGATGATCTGTAAACACTTTAAGGTTTGAAAAATACTGGTCTAGACGATGAAGGGCCAGTGGCAGGGCCACCCCCACTGTCTGAATGTTGGCCTTCCTGAGGCTGATTACCAGAGTAATGGGACCTCCTGACTGAATGCCTGTCTTTGCCGCACTGTTCCACTCTCCAAACACCACCAGAGATGAGCTTTCTAAAGCCCAGTCTGATCATGCTTAGAACTCTAGCACAAGTCTAAGAGCAGCAGGAACAGCTTCCACAGGCCTTGCCCACCATATCATCCACCAGCGATCACCTTCCACTCTATGCTCCTGCCATGGGAAACCACCTGTGGTCCCTGGAAAGCAGCAGCTACCTAGGATCACATTTTTATTAATGCAAATGTCCCCAGTATAGTAATCACTTTCACACAGTATCAGAATGAATGCATAAAAAATTTAGAACACGTCAATGACGGTCGGGCACGGTGGCTCAAGCCTGTAATCCCAGCACTTCGGGAGGCGGAGGCGGGTGGATCACGAGGTCAAGAGATCGAGACCATCCTGGTCAACATGGTGAAACCCCGTCTCTACTAAAAATACAAAAAATTAGCTGAGCATGGTGGCGCGTGCCTGTAATCCCAGCTACTCAGGAGGCTGAGGCAGGAGAATTGCCTGAACCCAGGAGGCGGAGGTTGTGGTGAGCCGATAGCACGCCATAGCACTTCAGCCTGGGTAACAAGAGCGAAATTCCGTCTCAAAAAAAACCCCAAAAAAACAAAAAACATTTTTTTCTCTTAACATGTAAACATGTTAGTTTTTCAAAATCTTTAATTCTGAACTGTGACATTCTAAGTTTAAATGTTAAAATCTATAGTACTAAATGAAGTCTTCAACTAGTTCGGCTTATTCATATGATGAGCCTACTCTTAATTACAGAGAACTCAGTGAAGGCAATGTGCTGAGCATGTGCTGTACAGGTGCTTAATTTATGCCTTTTCCAAGCCAATATTCACTAACTTACCACCATGTTCTACTCCAATATGTATTTTTTATCCACATAAATCTGTGTGCTGCAACCGTACTTTTCAAAATCATAACTTACGTTTTAACTTATAAAATTACATGATCACAACCCACATGAAAAAGATAGTATCTTATTTTTAAGATCAATTACTTAGAATAAAGGCTGCCCCCAATTTTCCAACTTGTATAAAATGATACTTGTTTTGAAAACTTTAATAAACTTTTTATCTGTTTCCAATTAGGTGTTATTTGAAGCCTAAAAACAAATGATAAATGTTTCTCCAGACACATTGCAGAGAAGGCGTGACCTTGGGTAACAGTTCATTCGTACAAGATTTTAAGTGGGTAAAGAAAATTAAAGAGAGGAGTTCTCAGAAAACTTATATTTAGATGCTTACATTAAGATTCATTTTACATCTGTTCTTTTCTATTCTCATATGGGACACTTAGTTGAAAGACCTTCAATTCATTTGCTAAAATGACTCAGATAGAACTTCTATCTTTAAAATATAGTTGCTACTGATTTTTTAAAAGGGCAAGAAGAAAAATACTTGACAAGCTAAATCTTAAAAAGGGCACAGTTAAAAAAAAAAGTATCGTCTGTGATAGTCATAGCCAAAGTTGATCAGACCTCAACTAACACTGGATATTGATTTCCAGTTCCTAAACTGAATGCAATTCTCTTTGACTCCCTAAGAGTCAAACTGAAGAGTGATTAGCTAGGTTTTAAGGTATAGACACTTGATATCCTTTACTCTTGGAATATTTTATTTCTTTAAAACTAAATTGTATAATAAATTCTCACATCTCATATTTTGGATTTTTTTTAAAGTAACAAAATATTTATTACTAAACATACCTGTTTAGTAGATTTTTATTTTTATAAGGAGATTTAAAACCAAGGCAAATACAAAAATATTTGAAAAGATGGTTGACATCACTACTCACTAGGGAAATGCAAATCAATACCAAAATTAGATACCACGTTATACTCATGAAGATGGCTACTATTAAAAAAAATAAATACCAAGTGTTGGCAAGGATGTGGAGAAATTGGAACCCTTGTGCACTGTTTGTAGACATGTAAAATGGTAAAGCAACTGTGGAAAACAGTATGGCAATTCCGTAAAAAGTTAAAAATAGAATTACCATGTGATCTAGCAATTCCACTTCTGTGTATATAGGCAAAAAATTAAAAGCAGGGTCTCAAAAGAGATATGTGTACATTATTATTATTCACAAGAGTGAATTCACAACATCTAAATTATTCACAACAGCTGAAACAATGGAAGCAACTCAAGTGTACATGGATGAATGAAACAAAATGTGGTCTATAGTTATTATCAACCTTAAAAGGAATAAAATCCTGATACATGCCACAACTTGGATAAACCTTTAGACATGATGCTAGGTAAAACAAGTCAGTCACAAAATGACAAATACTGTATGATGCCACTTACAGGAGACACTTAGGAGAATTAAAGTTACAGAGACAGAAAGTAGAATGGTGGCTGTCAGGGCTGGAAAGAGTTTAGAATGCGGAATCATTGTTTAATGGGTATAGAGTTTCAGTTTTATAAGATGAAAAGAATTATGAACATGGATGGTGGTGATGGTTACACACTATTATGAATGTGTTTAATACCACTGAACTGTGTTCTTAAAAATGGTTAAGATAGTAAAATTTATGTTCTGTGTATTTTACCACAATAAAACAAAATTGATAGGAAAAGAATGAGGCAGGTAAATTTGTAAGGCAAACAAGAAAGCTTGGACCGATTCCTACATATAAAGCCAACAACATTTCGTGTATAACCCTCATCTCAGATGGTAAGAAAAAGATCACTGTAAAACCAACCAGTACTCTTGAGCACCTACAGACACATTCCATCTCCAAGGCTTATGAGATTGTAAGTAACCAGAACCACTTGACAAGATACCTGAATAAATGAAGCGAAGAATGTCTGATAAACAAGAACAGAAGAGGGCGTCTTTAACAATGACTCGTAATGGTGGGTTGCCTGAAGATTCCTGGCTAGCACCTGGAAATGCAGTATCTCTGTTTATAGCAAAGAGATCCTGGGTAGTTCGGATGATACTGGAATCCTGAATGTCAGTGGGACTCTTCACACTGAAAAGCAGCATGAAAACATGGCTTACAGCGCAGAGAACAATCTTGTGAGCCTCTATAACTTCTTTTAAATCGGGGTTGTAAAATACCACGTCCACACACTGGCAGCAGAACAGCAAGTTATTTAAGTCAGAGTTATAGTGTGATGCTTCAGCCTTTAAGACAGGCATTTTTTCTGTTTCAAAAAATAAAAATAAAAACAATAAATTTCTTTCAGGTTTACAGATCAAATAATTTCATATTTACTTTAAATACAATCACATCATATTTTAAAATATTATTAGGTTAAAACATAAGAAACATATTTAACCATTTTTCGATGCACAGAAACCAATTTTGTATAGCTTAACCTAATTTATAAACATACATAAACTAATTACTCAGGGACTATAGAATTTTGTAACACAGACACACAAATACTATGTTTATTTAAATTTTATAGAGCAAATGAAAACCTACAAATGATGTACGGAGCAATAAAATCACATTTTTCCTTATTTGTGTGTCCCAAAATTAAACAACCTGCCAAATACTCAACTTTAGCATTTTGTAGTCATCACTCTATTTCTACCTTTGATTTTAAACATTCAAAGTACTGAGTAAGTTCTGAAGAACCCAACCTCATATCTGAGGTCCTTTTCTTCCTGAGACCAGAAGTAGAGGTAGAGGGCTGAGCTGTTAAAATTCTGCAACTTCTCAAAGTCAAGGCTCAAAGTCTTGAACTCTATTGTTTGAAAACATTTTGACCACTCTCTAGATTATAAAACTAGTATTTTTTCCTTCTAGTAAAACACTTCAGCAAAAGTGATGACTCAGCTCCCTAATTTCTAAAAGAGGATATAACCTTCAGCTTACTAGTTTGATCACCAAGAAAGAGAGATGAGCCCTCAATCAGCTCAAAATACCTACACTCCAGGCCCTCACCACAGACCCTAACTGCAAAACAGCTGCCATCTCATTTTTATTCAAAGAGGAGCTGAGGAAAGTGTTATTTGTGAAGGGTTGCTTGAAGCGCATGCAACCATCTAAATCAGTGGAATTCAAACTTCTTTAGCAATAAAAATCCTGAATTCCAAAGCAAACCCCAGCCCATAAAACAAATAACAAAGTCCTTTGGAGGCCAGGCTCTCCCTGCACTGTATCCTAGTCCACCTTCCTCGCTTCCACTGCCTGTGGCCCTGTCACCAAACCCTAAACACCATGTGCCCCAGAGCCCAGGATCCATCCTTGGAACAAATCAGCCCCGAATTATGTACACAGACTGTATTGTCCTGAACCCCTGGGATATCTTTAGTGTTATACACACAGGTCTCTTAGCAGGAGAGTACAAGAAACAGCCTTGTGAACCCTGAGGCTACATTTGCTGCAGGGCTTTTTGAAGGCCCTAGCCAGTATGTCACTTAGTATTCCCACATGAAGACCCACACAAAAGATTTCTTTTTCTTTTCTTTCCTTTCCTTTTCTTTTTGTTTTATTTGAGATAGAGTGCCACTGGAGTGCAGGGGTGTGATCTCGGCTCATGGCAACCTCAGCCTCCCAGGTTCATGCAATTCTCCTGCCTCAGCCTCCTGAGTAGCTGGGACTACAGGAGTCGTCACCATGCCTGGCTAATTTTTGTATTTTTAGCATAAACGGAGTTTCACTATGTTGGCCAGGCTGGTTTCAAACTCCTGACCTCAGGTGATCTGCCTGCCTTGGCCTCCCAAAGTGCTGGGATTACAGGCATTAGCCACTGCACCTGTGCCAATGTATTTCTTTTAGAGCTAAGTGACATGTAATGTTTTGCTTTCTCTGAGGATCTGGTATGTTTTGTCTTTTTGATTAATAAGAAGTAAGAACTAACTAGCCATCTGTTATTTAGCTAGTCATTTCCCACTCATCTTTAATCCAGAAAGGATTTAAGGCCCAAGGCTTTGCAACCTAATAGACCATATCTCCCCTTTCACTTAGTATACCAGGAAACCTAGAGCCAACTGTGTATCATTCAGGGTGTATAGATTTGCACTTTTTTTTTTAAGAGATGGGGTCTCTTAACTTCCAAAGCACACTGATCCAATAAAGTGCTACTCCACTATTTGTATCAAAAATCATGCAGAAAATTCTGATAACAGTTGACATAATTTATTTATGTTTAAGTTTATTTGCCCCAAACTTTGTATTACAAACATTCTAAAACATTCAAAAATGCTAAAGAATGATGCAATGAACACATATATACCCTTTACTCATATCCGTCACCTGACTTTTGCAATTATTAACATTCTATTTCTCCCTTATCTCTAGAGAGACAGAAAGACAGACAGACAGACAGACACACAAACACACACACACACACACACACGCACACACACAGAGCGCTGAAATATTTAAAAGTTGCCATCATCACAATGCCTTGGTTCTAAAATACTTTCACCTTCATCTCCTAGGAATAAGAACATTCTCCTATTCATCATAATACCATTATGATACATAAGAAAATTAACAGTAATTAAATGATATAATTTCCAGTCCATATTAAAATTTCACGCATGTCCCAACAACATATTTTAGATGTTTTTATTGAACCAGTAGCCAATCAAGGTTAATGTGCATTGCATTTAGTTGTCATTTAGCATCAGACTTTAATCTACAACAGCTCCCCACCCATGACACACACTATTTTTAGAGTCCATAGGTTCAATTTTTAAAGCAGTATTTCTCAAAATGTTATTCAAGTACCAATCTGCATCACCTGGGAAGTCAATTAAACCAGATTCTAGGCCCTATCCCAGGTTGACTGAATCAGAATGTCAGGGAAGCTCAAGTTTGAGAACAACTGCTCTCAGACCTGTGAGAAAAGATCAGGAATGAATGTCTAGACATTGGCTAATAAATGCACCTGGTTGCTCAAGTTGAGGTGGTCTAATTCCATGAAACGAGTTGCTGATTTTTCTTTTCTTCATTTTTTCACTTGTCTTCTGATTTAAGGCTTGGATCATAAAATACTCCAACTAAAACAGGAATCAAATTTCAATTGAAGAGCCAACAAAATTATATATCCAACATGAAAATCTGCATCTGAGGTCACAATTGTCAAACGTTTTAAATGTCAGTACCATTTACATGTATGCATTAGCAAACACATATAAACAATTTTTTTACTTTAAAAAAAAATGAATCTAGTGAAGCAGATTGTGCCTTGTCTGAACATAAGCTATCCACTCAAGAAGGAACTGTTATTAATCATTCTGCCACAAAGACATATGCACTATTCACAACAGCAAAGACAAAGAATCAACTTAAATGTCCATCAACATACACTGGATAAAGAAAATGTGGCATATATACACCATGGAACACTACACAGACATAAAAAGAATGAAACGATGTCCTTTGCAGCAAAATGGATGGAGCCAGTGGCCATCATCCTAAACAAACTAATAGGAACAAGAAACCAAATACCACATGTTCTCACTTATAAGTGGGAGCTAAACATTGAGTACATATGAACGCAAAAAAGTGACCAGCAGACACCAGGGCCAACTTGAGAGGGTGGTGAGAGGGAGGATCAGAGGGTGGTGAGGGTGAGGATCAGAAAACTACAAACTACCTACCATGTACGATGCTTACTACCTGGTTGGTGAAATAATCTGAACACCAAACCCTTGTGACATGCAATTTACCTATATAACAAACATGTACCCCAACCCTAAAAATATGAAAGTTTTTTTTTAAAAAAGAAGAAACTGTTTGCTTTCTTTTTTTAAATTTAATTATTTTTTAAATTTTAGAAATGGAGTATCGCTATGTTGCTCAAGCTAGACTCAAACTCCTGGACTCAAGGGATTCTCCCACCTCGGCCTTCCAAGTAATGGGGATTATAAGTGCCTGCCATCCCACCCAGCTGCTTTCTTGAATACTCAAGAAAGCCAAGCACTACAATTGTGTGGCTGCTAATAATTTTCTCTGTGGGCAACCACCACAGTTAATACTTGTGAAATTCAAAGCAGGAACAGATCTGCCTCTATGTCTACAGATGTTTCCAGCAGTCAAGAAACTTCACTTTCTTCTCTTAAACAAATTTCTTTAAAATCTGTCTTTTACTTTACAAATTAAAAATCTCACTCAGGTGCGTTTACATAGCCTCAGGCCTCTGCCCTAGCTTGCAAGGCCTGGGGCCAAAGGACAAATGGAGGCCCAGCCACCACAGAGCTAAATATTTCAATGCTGTAAATCAAGAAAACAAACTGTTATATAAAATATATTCTATACACCTGCTTTGACAAATATATCATCATAAAAGCCTGGCAGGCAAGATTTAGATTTAAATTCTCAGATTCTTCAGAGATTCGTACAGCAAAGGGGGCACTGGTCTGTAGTTACTGAGCCCCAGGACCACCCATTCTCTTCTCACCTCCTGCTCTATCTCATGCCTTGAAGAGCTCTGTGCACACAAGTGGACTTCCAAGCTCTGTCCACTCTCCCTTCTCCCATTCCCCATAAAGAGTCACCCTTTGGTCATGCCACAGGCCTAGGGGTGCATATACCAGCAATGGTGGGAGAATTCTGGGGTTCTGAGTTTGGAAGCAGAGTCCAAGCACTATTCCATAGACCTTTCTGTGTTGATAGAAATGTTCTGTAATGTATGCATTATATAATACAGTAGCCACTAGCCACTTGCAGCCATAGAGCACCTAAAATATGGTTCATATGCTTGAAGAACTGAATTTTACTTCGTTTTATTTTATCTTAATTCATTTAAATATAAATAGCCACATGTAGCTAGTGGCTGCCATACTGGACAGTGCAGGTCTAGAAAGGAATGAAGTCCACCAGTTCCAGGTGAACACAGCCCTCGGCTCCACTGACTTATGCCTTGTGGGGAGGGGTACAACTGGAGGACGGCCAGATGAAGCTCTCTAAAGCTCGAAGGCAGGCGGCCCTCTCTCTGGCCCAGCTGTGAGAGTAGTACTGCACAGCCCTTCATCCCTGACCCCTACAGGCAGGATTTTAAATGCTCCTTTCATTCTAACATTATCATCTCCATCCATATGGCTGCCAATGCCGTTCTATTTTACACTCAAGATCCCAGTTGTACTTTACTAGAAAGTAAAGCATCTAAGAAGAGATCCTTCTGATCTTATTTCCATATTCTCATCAGGTCTTAAGGAAAAAAGAACCTGCCATGTCTTTCTCCAGACCTTGGCCACATCAATCCTCATCATGCCTCTAACCCTAATTGCAGCATTAGATATTAGGAAGAAAGAGAGAAAAGGAGCCAGAAGAAGAGACAGAGGAGAGAAAGCGGGAGTGGGAAGGTGGGAAGAGTGATCCTGGGAATTTCAGGTTCTGGATCCTGGAACAGGGAGGAAAGAGACCTGCCGCTCCCAAGGGAACAGCTTCCCCTCAACAAATGAAACCAAATCCTGCACGAAACCATCTGACAAATGAACCTTCACAACAAGCAAAACCAGACCATCTTTTTGTCTCCAGCTCCCCAAGTATTTTAGGAAATGCACCATTCTTCACCAAATTAAGATTTTTTTAAAGCGACTAGAGTATTATCTGCTTGACAGGAAGACTAAATCTCTCTTACCCACCTTTCTACTCACTGCTTACCATCATAAATGAACACAGCAAAAGTTTCTCACAGTCATCGATAATATCAATACTGTGAGTATAACTTCTTTAACATTGTAATATTAATGTTTCTTTATATTACTGGGTGAATAAAAGCCATTTGTATTTGATGGAAATTAGCACCATTTATATTTGGCCTTTATTTTACCCATTTACACAAACGACATTTCTGTAGTCCTCTGTGGAACCTCTACATTTCAACATGAATTTACACAATAAACATTGGGGCGGATTGGCAAGAATACTTGGCGAGGAGCTAGGGAACCGACGGGGGTAGCAAAGTGCTCCTGCTTAAGGTAGCTTTTCTTTGCTTTTAACTTCTCAATGATGTATATTAGGTTTGTCTGTTGAGAGGAGGTGCTTCTAAGAGGTTTGGAAATGTAGTTTCGGTGTCAGCAAATTCTTAAATGACACAACTCCAGTATTCTCCAAGGATGTTACAGTCCTAATACTATATGGGAGGTGCTGTGTGTTAAGATCAGCATCCAAACAACTGCAGAACCTAACATGCACCACTGCAACCGAGCAAGCAAGCCTGCTCCCACATAGTCAACAAGCAGCTATTTGCATAAGTAGTTCCTCTGAATCTGTTCAAGCTACAGTAAGATTAGGAGGATATAAAATTTTGCCAAAGCACACACAGAAGAAGAAAAATGATTCTTTTCAACCAGGAGATGGAAATGAAAGATAACTTTTGGGGCCTGCTGGCTCAGGCTGCCAGGCTCATTCAACTGTATAAAGATGACTATTAAAACTGGCATCACAGGTCTGGATAAGTAAACATGCTTTTGACACATACAACAAAAAGTACTAAAGTATCACCAAACGAAAAATTCCAAAATATCAAATTAGATAATAGAAAAGGTTTCATTTGGAGAGAAGAATAAAATTATATTCTGATAAAGGCTTTGCCACTCCCTCTCATTTTATTTCTCAAGGTTAAGGAAGACTCACCACGCTTTTAAATCTGAAGTTCTAACTGATGTTCTAGAAAATACCTAAAGAGCCAACCAGACACATAACTTTATACATAACAGGAATTTCCACTTACCACACCTCCAAAATACTTTCCTATGTAGAAGTCATCAAGGCTGTGGAGTTCAAGATAGGTCGCTCCTAGTTCTTTCGCAAGTTGGATCCCTTCGGTTGTACTAACACAGCTCCCCCTGTCTGACGTACATAGTGGGCATGTACAAGGTAATTCTTCTGAGAAAATAAATTTTAAAACAAAGAGTTTTCAAATTAACAGAAAAAAAGGTACTTAGACAATCTGAACATTAAACAACAAACTAAGCTCATACCAGAGCCACAGTTCAAAAGCATTCAGTATATCCGCTGTCCACTAAACGCTGAATAAAAAGTGTCAATGAGCATAGAAAGGTCCCTAAATAAACAAGCATTCACTGCAAGAATAATAAATAGCATTTTATAAAACAGAAGAATTTAAAAGTAGGTGAATGGATATTACCAAACAACCAGTAATCATGGGCCTGCTTCTTTTTACACAACCTTGACATCCTGAATATCAGTATTTCTAGGCCAGTAGAAAAGACAAATGTAACAACTTGATTGCCATGGAGAGCATGACCAGTGGATTGGCTTTTTTAATACAATAAATTTTAAATCCATTTACAAAGTTTGAGTAAACCTTACACTTCTACTGTAACAGAACCTTCAGTTTGACCTGATTTTCAAGGCAACAAAATCGTCACTCTTTATAAACTTCGTGTGAAGTACATTCCTATCGCTTCAGACATTTCCATCATTAAACTCTAAATCATTCAACTTCAGAGAACAAGTTTTCTGAAAAGATGAAGATTCTTCATCTTTTCCTTTAAGATTAAAAAATTAAAAACTGAAGGAATAAAAAGTATTAACGCAAAAAGTGAAACATCCCAAGACTCATAGTTGTACCATGTATAGATCTACGGCTAGGAAGGCAGCAGAACAATCTATCTATAAGAACATCCCTCGTAAGGCTAAAAATACATGTTTAACTCCATGCTTGTCAGCCAGCTCTGTTATGTATCGTGTTCACGACATCAAATGTATCACCACTCAGAAAGGTAGATAGGTCAAAAGAGGGTAAATTCATTTCTAGAAATGCATGTTGTTGTAGGCTGGCTTCCCTTGGGAAGGCAGACTCTAAAATGGAGAGCGGTGTGGCAGAGGTTAGCCGGGGAGTGATCTTGGGAACAATCTTTCTCTGTGGGGTAAGGGATGCAGGACTGGGTAGAGGGAATATTGGAACCACAGTACCATTGGAACAGGGACCAAAGCTGATCCTACAGGGAGCTCTGGAGCTTAGATGGCCTTTTAGAGTTGCTCCTCATTTGGGGAAAGGAGGTAGCTGAGCCTTTGTATCCTATCCCTAAATCTACCAGTAATCAGCCAAGGGCTGAGCCCCTGGAGCAGGCATAACTTGGGCAAGGCACTCCCATCAGCACAGAGTAATGCCGGGAAAGGGGCTCAGATGTGCACCACCAGTAGCCAACAAGCCCCAGTAACTGAGGAGGTACACTGGCCTTGAAGGGGCATTTGAGCTGCTCCTCATTGTATATGCAGCAACTTCCCTATGAATGAACTGCATAGAGATGGAGCAGATAATGTAAATATCAGGTACATCCTAAATATATTTACGTAGTGTATGTGTATACCATGTACGTAAAAACGCACATACACATACAGACACACATGGCTTAGAAAATTTTAGCTTCACTGAAAGCATTTTAGAGCTCAGAGACCATATATTCATGTTCTCATTTTGCAGAGGAAGAAACTAAGACTCAGAGAGGTTATGTGACTTTTCCAAGTCTCTTTGTGTGTTAGAGATAGAGAAACAATAAAACACTGCTACTTCCTCCACCTGATAATGAAAGTGACACCAAAAGGGAAAATAAAAATATAGTTTGAGTAAAGTTTGAGTAAAGAATTACTGATTCCAAAGACACGGTGATTTAAAAATTAAGCTTGAGTTCTCTAAATTATACCATAAATTCTAATATGAGATTTTACTTTTACTTTTTCTAAAATCATTTTATGTTTGGCGCAAATAAAGTTTTCATAGAGAACTTAGCCTATCTTGAAAAATAATGTGTTGGTATTTCACATTCTTTACAAAGCCTTTGTAAACAGTGCCTTTGATTTGCTGAAGACACAGGCCTTCTTATATCTACAAAGGTCTCCTTATGTTGATGGAATGGAGTGGGCAGGCAGATCATCTTATTAAACTTTATTTCTGGACAGAAATCAAGCAGAAACAGGATTGTTTCAAGGGGAAAAACAAAGTGAACATAATGTAAAATAATTCTTAACAATCTTGATTTGAGGGAGAAAATACAACTAATTTCAGGTTATACCAACAGGGTGGGTTTTCCACTGCACGTGGTTGTAAGCATCTTACCTACACACATTCCTAGAAAGTGCCCCTGTGTCTCCTCTACGTCACTGAAGACATTTGTTTTTGTTCACTTACCAGAAAGTAAAAAAATGCCTAGTCATTCCAGTTACACCATATTAGTCCAGTTACACCATATTATGCTGTAACTAGTTGCCACTTAGCTACCTACCCTTTATCAATCAGCTATATGACCTAAGATTCCAAGTAAAAGTCTGACTTTTATTGGTTATAGCAGGAGAATCAATTCTGAATTAAATAGTTTACGTGAACCATTTAATCAGGAATAAGCAGAGGACTCAAAATAATTTTCAACTGTGATGCCGCATGGTCACGTGACTCTGAATCAGTGTACTACACTTCTAACTAACATTTTGTCCCCTTACATGCTTAAGATGTTGTCACAAAATGCTTTCTATTTTTTAAAAGCAAGAACAATGTAACTCTGACATTCAAATAAATGGTGTCTCTTTGAAAAGTAGTGCCTTTGGGAACCTGTAGGTTAATTCTTACAACATTGCCACTGCTTGGAAGTTTTAGAAATTCTTTTCAAAAATTCTAGCCTGGTAAAGGATCAGGCTCAATCAGAGCTTCAAAAATAACTGAAAGAGATACCTGTCTTTGGGAGCTTAAAGTTATGAATCCATTCTAAGCACAATCTGAAAAAAAAATCGTTTTTCAAGATAGATTGAATATTTTGTATAAGCCAAACATTTATTCAGAGCCAAGTATGATGAAGACATCCATTCAGTCAAGGTCATCAAAAACATGTGTAACAAAGGAAAGAAATGAGACTGAATTATATTTGCTGAATTCTTTTCAATTTTAAAAAGAATTTCAAGAAGCTGAGTGTGATGGTGTGTGCTTAATTCCAGCTACTTGGGAGGCTGAGGTGGGAGGATCCTTTGAGCCCAGAAGTTGAAGGCTAGCCTGGTCCACATAGCGAGATCCCATCTCCATTTTTTATTTTTTAAATTTTATTTATTTATTTATTTATTTTGAGACAGGGTCTCACTCTGTCACCCAGGCTGGAGTGCAGTGGCATGATCTCTGCTCACTGCAACCTCTGCCTACCCCAGGGCTCAAGTGACCCTCCCACCTCAGCCTACCTAGCAGCTGGAACTACAGGTGTGCATTACCATGCCTGGCTAATTTTTGTATTTTTAGTAGAGATGGGGTTTCACCATGTTTCTCCAGGTTGGTCTTGAACTCCCAAAGTGCTGAAATTACACGTGTGAGTCACCGTGGCCAGCCCCGCAATCTCTATTTAAAACAAAAAACAAACAAACAAAAAAGATAAAAAGAGTTCCAAGGGAATTACCAGGAGAGCACCCAGCACAGTTTCATGTATTCCAAGGGATGGAAGTGGGGAAGCCAATAAAGGTCCTTGAGTTGAATAGCCAGATTTAGCTAGTTCTCCTAACAGAACAGACCCAGCAGAACTTATGTGTGAGCCAGAAGAAAAGGCCCAGGAATTCTCCCATAAGGCAACACAAAGAAATAAATCAAGAAGAAATATATATATATATATATATATAAAAAAAAAGAATCAGAGAAGAGATCCAAAAGTTTCAACATCAGTCTAACAAGAGTCCCAAAAGAAGAGAATAGAGAATATGGAGGGATGGTGATATCTGAAAAAGTCACGAAGTTATCTGTGGGGGGGATAACATTAGGAGAAATACCTAACGTAGATGATGGGGCTATGGATGCAGCAAACCACCACCATGGCACGTGTATACCCATGTAACAAACCTGCATGATCTGCACATGTACCCCAGAACTTAAAGTATAATAATAATAATAAAACTGATTAGAGGTATCTTGAAATGACTCTCTCTAGGCAAATACGGAGCAAGGTAAGCAATGGAAAGAATAATCAGAACAGATTATATAATACTGAATTTAAAATACAAATCCATTAATCATAATGATTCTAACAGAAAAATCTGGGAGCAGAGAAATAGGAAAGCTCCATTTACAGAAGAACATCAACTAATAAGAGTAGAAGGAATGATAGAAACATCACTATATTGCAAGCACATTTATCATAAATGAAGAAATTACACAAACTAAAGGGCCTGGGTTCATTAAAAATGTTAATGTTATGAAAGACATGGAACCTCCCCCCAAAAAACCAGTGGGGGTACTGCTCCAGATTAAAAGAGAGTAGAAGGCAGATATGGTAATGCATGCCTATATTCCTAGCTACTTGGGAGTCCGCAGCATGAGGATTGCTTAAGCCCAAGTTCCAGAGCAGCCCAGACAACATAGCAAGATCCTGTCTCTTAAAAAAAAAAAGAGAGCCGGGCGCGGTGGCTCAAGCCTGTAATCCCAGCACTTTGGGAGGCCGAGGCGGGTGGATCACGAGGTCAAGAGATCGAGACCATCCTGGTAAACATGGTGAAACCCTGTCTCTACTAAAAATACAAAAAATTAGCTGGGCATCGTTGTGCGTGCCTGTAATCCCAGCTACTCAGGAGGCTGAGGCAGGAGAATTGCCTGAACCCAGGAGGCGGAGGTTGCGGTGAGCCGAGATCGCGCCATTGCACTCCAGCCTGGGTAACAAGAGCGAAACTCCGTCTCAAAAAAAAAAAAAAAAAAAAAAAAAAAAAGAGAGAACGAAAAAAGAACAGAGAGATAAAACAACTAAATGCAATATGTAATCTTTAATTGCATCCTGGATTGGTGAAAAAACAACAACAATAAACCCCAGCTATAAAGCACATCATAAAGAAATAACTGAAGAAATGTAAATATGGATTATATCTTAAATAATAGTAAAAATATAATAGTATGTCAGACACCTTGACTGATGATTATATTAGGCTTAATAGGATAATGACCTTGTTCTCAGATTATACATGCTGAAGCAATTAGGAATGAAGAAGTCTCATAATGTTTACAATTTACTCTCAAATGGCTCAACCAAAAAAGAGTGTGTGTGTGTGTGTGTGTGTGCGTTTTTATAAAACCTAAGGTTCAATGTCTCATTCTTGTCAATTTTCTTAGGTTTGAAATTTTGGAAAATAAGAGGAAAAGAAGAAAGTTCCTTAAAAAATTCAAAGCACTGAGTGCCATGATCTGACTTGTATCCTAGGATGACTATTCTGAGAGCATTTATTTCAGAACGAGACAAACCAGGAATAGCACACCAGAGGCCAATTTACCATGAAGCCGATGAAGCTCAAGCTTCAAGGCTCTTTTCTTGTGGATCCTTTCCAAGCCCCAGGAAGAACCTGAGCAATATATCTTCACATGGTCATATTCTTTTGTAAAATTTGCAAAATAAGATATTTAGTCAAGACTACTGTCTCTTTCCACTCCAAATCACTTCATCTTGTGTCAGGCAGCTCTGGAGTAACCATGGGCATTTTGGGGAAGCTGCTAAGGGGAATTTAACTTTAGGTTTAGTGAGCTATTATTTGTGGTTTATAGTCACTTCCACGTACAGTTGAGTGTTTGATAACTATCCTAACATACGTATGACTTTTAGAAATGCTTCTGTCACCCACAGTGCTCACTTACTTGGTGTCATGACAAGAATGCTGAGCTGAAATCGGAATACAACACAAACTCTGGTGCCCAGGACCAGAAAGATGTGGAAAGAGAAGAAATATGCTGAAAGAAAAACTGATTATCAGTCTCTTCTCTCTATAGAAAATATCACAAAGTGGTTGTATTCATCCATTCTCATGCTACGAATAAAGACATACCTGAGACTGGGTAATTTATAAAGAAAAGGAGGTTTAATGGACTCAATTCCACATGGCTGGGGAGGCCTCACAATCATGGTGGAAGGTGAAGAAGGAGCAAAGTCACATCTCACATGGCAGCAGGCAAGAGTGCATGAGCAGGGGAACTGCCCTTTTACAAAACCATCACTTCTCATGAGGCTTATTGACTATCATGAGAACAGCACAGGAAAAACCCACTCCCATGATTCAATTACCTCCCACCAGGTCCCTCCCATAACACATGGGGATTATTACAATTCAAGTGAGATTTGTGTGGGGATACAGACATAATATAGCAGTGGTTATCATATGAAGACATGACCAAAGACTATGGTCATCCAAAAAATATAAGAAAAGCTGAAAAAAGTATCAGGCTGTTAAAAAGATCTGTTGCCAGGTGTGGTGGCTCATGCCTGTAATCCCAGCACTTTGGGAGCCTGAGGCAGACAGATGGCTTGAGCCTAGGAGTTTGAGACCAGCCTGGGCAACATGGCGGAATCTCGTCTCTACAAAAAAATTAGCCAGATGTGGTGGCACATGCTTATAGTCCCTGTTACTCAGGAGGGTGAGGCAGAGAGAACTGTTAGAGCCCAGGAGGTCAAGGCTGCAATGAGCTATTATCATGTCACTGCACTCCAGCCTGGGGAACAGAGAAAGATCCTATCTCAAAAATATATACATATATTTAAAAACGTTTGTAGTATTTGACAACTTTTTAGTTGTGATTTGTTGTGCTTTCACTTATCATTCAAAATATTTATTTTGTACACCTATGTATCTGTTATTTTATAGTGTTTTTTCCTTACAAAGGACCTCCCAAACTGTTTATGTTTGAGGCCTTACAAAAGCTGAAAGCACCCTTTAGAGAGACCAAAAAGAAGGCCACCATGACAGCTAATCAAATGACTAGAATGTGAAATCCAATGAAGATGAAGAGAAAGTAATGAGTTTGAGATTTACTTAAAATGTAAAAGGAAAAGGGCTTCTTAATCAACTGGATAGGAGGAACTGGGGTGGGTCTAGGATGATTCTTGTTTGCATGAATGGATAGGTTTGGCATCATTAACCAAAACGGAATTTGGCCAGAGAGAGACGGCGTCTACGGAACTATGCATCAGGAGCAAGACTAAAACCAGAGACAGACTCAACAGTCATCAGTGTGTATGTAGGAGAAGCCAGGGCAACAGATTAGCAAGTTAATGGTCTGGCTGAAGAGCAAGAACAGGTGAGGCCAAAAGGTGGAACTCTGAGAAACAATTCCATGATATGTTGGTGCTGCTGTGTGTGTGGGAGGATGGAAGAAAGGTAAAGGAGACAGAGAGTTAGAAGAACAAAGAAAGAAAGAGAAGCTTTATTAAATGAAGGGAGAGGTATGTTTCAATAATTTCAATAAGTGATAACTATTATCTCTTATCTCTTCAATAAGATATAATTGTTATTAAAGTGTATTACACTTGGCAACAAGCATGTAAGTGGTATCTCAGTCCGTTTTGTGCTGCTATGATGGAATACTACAGACTGGGTAATTTATAAAGAAAAGAAATTTATTTCTCACAGTTCTGGAGGCTGAAAAGTCCAACATCAACGTGCCAGCATCTGGTGAGACCGCTGTATCTTCCCATGGCGGAAGGCAGAAGGACAAGAGAGCTCACAAGACAGAGGGCAGAAGGGTCCAAACTCATCCTTTTATCAGGAGCCCACTCCCGTGACAACTAACCCACTCTAGAGATAATACCATCAGTCCATTCATGAGGGCAGAGTCCTCTTACCCAAATTACCTCCTAAAGGTCTCATGGCCCAAAACTGTTGCATTGGGGATTAAGTGTCTATCACATGAACTTTGGGGAACACATTCAGACCACAGCAACTGGAGACCCTGAGTGAGAACAAACTTGGTGCCATTGCGAAAGTCAAAGTCAGATTGTAGTAGACTGAAGAATAAATAGGAAATGAACTCAGGAAGTGTGGATAACTCTTTTATGAATCATCACCAGAAATAAAAAGAAAGATAGGGAAGTAGAAGGGATGTGGGGTCATGGGTCGGTCATGCCTGTCTTATTTGTGTCTACTAATGTTAAATATATGCCTGCCCTCTGACCCAACAATCTCGCTCCTGGGCAACGACCTAAGCATCCTCAAAAGAAGAATGGATAAGTAAATTACGGCACATTCATACAATGGAATGACTAAAAAGAACAAACTACAGATAAACACAACATGGACAAATCTCAAAAGTATTACACTAACTGAAATTAGCCTGACACAAGACATTACTACATACTGTATAATTTCATTTATGAAGTTCAGAAATAGGTAAAACTCATCTATGCTGTCAGAAATCAGAATAGCAGTTACCTCTGAGGAGGAGTGTTATTAACTGGGAAGAGGCATGAGGAAGGCTTCTCAAGTGCCGCAAATGTTCTATACCTTGATCTGTGTGAGTTGTGTGTCTGTATACATAGGCAAACATGCATTTAGCTGCACTCTAAGATGAGTAAACGCTATGTCCTTTACTTTGCAATGCCACAACTTAAGAGTTTTTAGAATAATGAACAAAAATAAAATTTAAAAAATAGGTTTACTAAGGAAATATCACTAAGATCTATAAACCACCACCAAATCAAAGTGAATTCTGAGTTGGCCCTAAGATAGCTGACAATGATATGCACAGCAGCAATGGTTGAAGCAGCCCAAACCCAGTGAATTTATCAGCCATGGAATAAGCAATCCTTTCTCTTAGAAAGCACTGTCAGTGTTTTCAGCTCACTCAACATTATCTACCTAAAAATCCTGCTCCCAAGCCCACATCTTCATGTGAACAATCTATCCTTCCCAATTGAGTAGACCTTTAGATCATCAAAAAGAATTTTCTAGGGCTCAGCATCAGCCTAATACCTCTCATATGTCAAAATACACAATTGCCGACTTCCATCACTACAGTAGAAGAGCCATTTAGAGGACAGATTTGCACCCACTGGAATCACAGAAGTTCATGATCCTCTCGTTTGTTGTCTTTTTATTGTATCAAATGATGAAGCCATAGCTGCTGGCACTGAACCAAAGTCACTTTGGCTTTCAAAAACAACCTATTATTGCTTAATAAACTTAGCACAATTTAAAATACATATAATATTGGCATGCTCACTATGAAAAGAATATTAAATACTTACCATTTTGTCTGGTACCAACAGCAGCAATAATTACTGGAACTGAATTTAATGCTCTTTTTATCACCGGAATATAATTATCCTTTACTTCATGGAATGAAAACTTGTCATTAACGTTGTATTTGATCACAATGATGTCGGCACCCCCAATTAGATTTCGAGAAGTGTACCAATCACTGTCAAATATGTCCTAAACCAAAACGCAAATAGCAATCATTAGTCTACTTATCTTCCAATCAATTCTGAAATAATTCACAACATTAATTTTTGGAATTCATTAAAAATTATTTTAAAATAGGTAACTATATAAAACTGAAAGTGTTTGCAGTCTGCCAACTCTCTCTTTAAAAATGTTTACTTACTCATGTAGCTTGGACAATTATGTAATGGTTAAACATGAGAATCTGAGAATTCCTGAGAGTCAGATGAAATAAGCAACTTTCTTCCATATTTGCACTTAAAAATAAGCCCTTTGTTTTAAAATCACACTATATTTTTATCAGCTCATATTTTCAAAAGTGTAACATTATGGCATTAGATGGAAGAGCAACAGTATGAGTAGTGAAGCTTCAAAGGCTTTTTTTCTGTGACCCAGTTAGACACTGCAGGATTTTCAGTGTTTTGCATTGCAATACATTTTAAATTCAGTGCAGTTCCATATACTTTATTCATATTTTCTTTTTCTTTTTTCTTTTTTTTTTTTTAGACAGAGTCTCACTCTGTCACCAGGCTGGAGTACAGTGGCTCCACCTCAGCTCACTGCAGCCTTCGCCTCCCTGGTTCCAGGAATTTTCCTGTCTCAGCCTCATGAGTGGCTGGGACTACAGGTGTGCACCAACATGCCCAGTTAATTGTATTTTTAGTAGAGACAGGGTTTCACCATGTTGACAAGGATGGTCTCGATCTCTTGACTTTGTGATCTCCCTGCCTTGGCCTCCCAAAGTGTTGGAATTACAGGCACGAGCCACCGTACCTGGCCCATATTTTCAAAATTCATACATACTTTTTAACTTTATCTGTCCTTTGAATAGTACTGTATATATAGAGTATGTATGTGGGGTGAAGGAGGAATTTCTTTATAAAAAAAGATACTGTGTATTACAAGGTGTTAACATAGTAAGAAATATATTTTCAATTATGTATTTTGCTTACATCAATTAAAAATTCAGGATAAACCCTTCTAGTTCTGAAATCTTTACTTTCGTGCTACAGCTAATAACATTTATATTTATTTAGAACCAGGCCATAAGTAATTTATTACAAACTCTTAAGTATACAGTGTTTTTATTTTTTTTTATTTATTTATTTTGGAGACAGGGTCTCACACTCTGTTGCCCAAGATGGAGTCCAGTGGTGCAATCTTGGCTCACTGCAACCTCTGCCTCACAAGTTCAGGCAATTCTTGTGCCTCAGCCTCCCAAGTAGCTGGGACTACAGGTGCATACCTCCATTCCAGCTATTTTTTTTTTTTTTTTTTTGTATTTTAGCAAAGATGGAATTTCACCATGTTGCTCAGGTTGGTCTTGAACTTTTGAGCTCAGGCAATCTGCCCACTTCAGCCTCCTAAAGTGCTAGGATTACAGGCATGAGCCACCATGCCTGGCCTGGGTTGATATTTTAAATACAATTTTTCAAAGTTTTTGTATGAATAGTGATGTAAGGAAAATACCTTTAGGTATCTTAATTCCACTATCAAATATGTGCAAGTAGTTTTCCTCTCACATTCTAGTTAACTATTAATCATTTGTCCTTTTATGTGGCCTTTGGTGCATATTTCTAGGATGTAATAAAGCTAGATTAAGAAAATAGCTAGCTGTGACGAACAGGTCCAAAAGCTGTTGAGCTAGGAAAATTCATACTTTGAAATACGAGTCTAAGGAAGGGTTAACAGTGTTTGAATCAGCCAACCAAGGTCTATGTGACAGAGCTTTTATCCTACGATGGAAAATTCTGGAGGAGTGTCACAGAGCAATGCCCTTCTGCAGAGAGAGCTTCTTCTCATCAGTGCCTCCCCCAGTTCCCATACGCTCCCAGCCACCCATTTCCCACAAGTACATTCAGAGTTACACGAACTGCAGAATTTTCAGTCATGAATACCCTATCAAAAGTGGGATGCATAGAGTATTTCTGAAGGAAGGTAAAAGAACAACAATAACAAAAAGGCAAAATATGGACTATAAATAACAAAGACAAAGGCTTGAACTTGGTAGACAAAGGCTTGAACTTGGTGCAAGGGAGGAGAAGGGAAGTGGGACACAGTGCAAGAAAACGGGAAAGCTTCCCAGCAGAGCTCTCAAACTGCCAAATCCCAAACCACACAACCTATTTGGTTCCAACTGCATCTGCTATAGCATTCAAGTTCAAAGTATACAAGTATAACAGAGTGCATAAGTTTAACAAAGAAGACAAACGAGATAAAAAACTAAACAAAATTGGGGCCAATATTAAGCAGCCACTTAACTCCAAGAAAAGAAATCAAAAGCAGCTGCTTTTTGAATTCCAAATAGTTCAAAATTCCAGAGTTACTGGAAAAGTATACAGGGAAGAGGAAGACCTTTAAGGGAAAATATTGTGAAAAAATGGGTCTGGGCATTGTTACCTCTGTGGGATTGAGGGTGTGAAAACGATAAATACTTTTATTTGTAATCCAAATCAGAGCTTCAAACCCTGCAAAGAAAACTGTGACTCTATTATACCACTTCACTGCTTTTTGGGGAGTGTTTTTAATAAACAGTAAAAGATACAGAAATGTGAAATGAAATAGTAATGTACGATACCAAAAATACGGATGGAAAAGAGAAAGAAAGATGCACTCAATAATTGACTATGTTTAATCAATCTGTAGCATATTTATTTTAAAAGTGCCAAGTATATAAGGCAAGGATCCAGGGTAAGGCTAAGGATCTACAGAAGAAAACTAGGGAAGAGAAACACAGCTATCTTGTTTCAACTCCAAGGCAACAACAACACAGCTCTTCTTAAACTATATCAAATAAAAAATACTCCAAAGAATTATGAAGGAAATCAAATTCTCCCACTCCTTGTAAATCAGTTCCAGGTTTTCCTCTAGGGGGTTATGCAACACAAGGCTTGGAGCCACATTTGGAGAATTGAACTCATCTTTAAAAAAAAAAAATCGGAATTTCTACAGTGAAACTATTTTATTTTGCTTGATTGTGGGGCTGCATGCATGAAGTATGACCATCGCTGCCCCAGCATACTGGTACTGCAGTTGTACAAACCTTGAATGACCTGTGAAAACCTTACTTTCGCTTAGTATTAATATAAGTGATACATAACTATACTAAAGTTAAAACAAACACTTAATTTTTATATTAGCTACCACTTACAGGCACTTACTAAATGCCAGCCTCTATACTTAGAACTTGACATGTGCTAGTTTCTCATTCACTTCTCAGCACAGCTCCAGGAGACAGATTATTATGTAGATAGGGAAAATAAGACTGAGAGAAGGTAAATGATTTAACAAGGACACACAGGCATGAAATGGCAATGTGAGAATCCAAAATCAGATCATTTGATATCAAAGGCTGTGCTCTATCTGCTCTGCTGTATTTAATATTCTGATTCTGTACATACTCAAACAACAGTTGATTCATGCAATCACAGTTGTAGCATCTCTGATGGGCTTTACTTACCACCAAGTGAAGAAAAGCACCTTATAAAGAGCAAACCTAGAAATGGAATCTCATGTCTGAAGACCTTTATAACCTAGAAAATTGTACTGGGTTACAAACTTGGTGCCTTAAACAGGGCCAGAGTCTAACCAAACAAAAAGTGATTTGCATAATAAACCATAACAACCAGCTTACGGCAAAAATCCCGACTACAGAGGCTTATTTTATCCATTTGGAAGATTTTGTTTTACTAGACAAAGTATATGGGATCACAAGCATTTCTGTTCGTGCAATTAACAATATAAACAGGAAAATGTTAACAGCTCATATTAAATACAGGGAAAGCAATCCTAACATTCTAATGTAGCTAATTTTATTTTCCCTCCATTTATTTACTCTATTCACTGAACATTTATTCAACTGCATGTTGTACCGTTATGTTTTTAGACTGTAAGATGTTTCACGATGAAAGACCCAAAGTAAAAGAAGTGTTTCATTTGCCTGCATAGACTCTGGCCAATAAGTTCTCCATCAATACTTCTTATGAACAACGTCATCCCTATTATAACTAGGGGTTTAATATATCTAGGGGTCTAATAGCATCTCTTAATTGAAAAGGCCTGTTTCGAATTTTACCAAATTAACATAACTTTCTTCTTTAACTGAAAACTTATACGAGCAAATAATCTTTTCTTTCAGTTATATGAAAATTTGCATAAGAAATTTTTCTAAGTACATTTTACACATTTTTTAGAATGATGTGGTAGTTTCCTATAGCTCTGACTCAGTTTTTTATATTGCTGTTTAAATATGAAATCTCACACAATGATAATTTGTATTTTTTTCAGGCACTACACTTTCTTCTGCTATTAAATGCAACATTTAGCTGAAACACAGGTAACTCCAATATCAGTAAAGAATCAGAGATTTTCAAATACGATTAAAAGAAAACATTCAAAACATGTTATCGTATACTGAAAATACTTACATGTGTCAGGAAGTAAATTCCCTTTTCCTTTTATCAAACACTCAAGAATCAGACTATAATTTATCCACTTCACTACAGTTTTAATTATTGCAAATTTTAATTTTTTAAAGTTTTCCACGCAACATTAGTAATATTCTGATTTATGAATTACTAAAACAAATGGCTAATACATAAAGAGTATTTGCTTTATTAAAATTAAAATTTTCAGAGCTCAATTAGTAGTGCTATAAATGAGTCATTTAAAATTACCTCCCAGTCCTTGCCTTTTCCTCCACTTTCCAGAGGAACTATTTCTGAACTGTCCCAGTGAAAAGTATTTTTACCTGTGTTTTAGCTTTGAGGGCTGTATTTTTAGAACACCAATATTACACTATCACCCACAGGGTAGGCATTAAAAAAAAAACAAAAAACAAAACACTGCTTTTTGCTGGTGAAACTTAGTGACCCCATCCCTCGGAGTTGGCACATTCAACTGTCAGTTGTCTACTAAGGGACAACCCACAGTCCTGAAGTGTACCAGTAAGTGCCCCACACTCCCAACTGGGGCCTTTTATCTTCCCAAGAGTGCTCGCTGACGGGGCTGTCCCCTGCCCAGTGAAACAAAGGACCAAAGATTTTCTCAAAAATGTTTAAAAATTCGACCCATGTAACGCGGACACTCCACACTCACGGAAGTGAGCAGAGGGGGAGGAGGTAAAAAAGCTCCTTCAGCCCCGGGGCGGAGCAGCTGCTGTTCCTTACCCAGACGGGACAGTCGTGGACCACCAGCTTGACATTCCCAAACGCACTGGCCTGATACTCGGTGAACACGGGACGCGCGACCGTGCTGGCCGCGTTCAGCAACAAGCTGCTCTCGTCCCCCGAGACCAGAGGGCTCCTCCCCAGGTAAGTGCGGATGAGCCCCGACGGCCGGTTGTCCTGGTGGAACGCGTCCCCTTCGTTCCCCAGCGCCACGATGTGGATGGACCTGCACCGACAGAGAAGGGGCGAGGGGAGAAGGAAAGCGCGGTCAGCGTGCGGACCCGTCCTCGGAACAGGAAGTGCGGGGGGCCGCGCGCGGCCAGGATGGGCAGCAGCCCCTGTCCCTGGGGCGCACGGCACGCGCTGGAGACAGACAATGGCCGGACGGCGGCGCGTACGTACATGATTTCAAATCCAAGGGCAGGGCGGCGACTCGGAGAAAAGCAGCGGCTCACAGCCTGGCGTGGCCCCCGGGCGGCGAGTTCACCCGCAATCCGCTCATCCCCGGCCGCGTCCCCCTCACGCGCCTCCACCGCGGCGGGGCCGACGCAGAGCGGGGCCGGGGCCGCGCCAGCCAGCGAGCAAGCCGGGGGCGTGGGGGCCGGGCGGGCGAGCGGGCGAGCGGGCGAGCGGGCGGGGGGCGCGCTGCCGCCACTCAGGGAGCGCCCCGGAACATCGCCGGGCGTGGGGCCGCCGCGCAGCCCCGAGTGGACGCCGCCGACCGCAGTCCCCTCCCCGCCGCGCCTCCTCGGCCGGCAGCTGTCGCCTCCCGCTGCTGCTGCCGCTGCTCCTCCTCCTCCCGGCAGAGAGCCGGGCGCGGGGGGGTCGGGGAGATCTGGGCCTCCGCCCCCTCGGCGGACCGGGCGCAGCACGTGCCGGCCCCGGGGGTCGGGCGGACGCGGGGGGACGCGCTCCCGGCCGAGGCCCCGGAGCTCCGGCGTCGGCGGCCGGACACAAAGGAGCGGCCCGCGCCGGGCGCCGCGGAATATAAATTAATAAATACAACGTCCCAGCTCGAGAGCTCCCGGCCGCCAATCCGCCTGCAGCAAGTTTGTTCAACTCGCAGGGCCGTAACCAGAGCCAGGAAAGGGGGGTGGGGCGATGGGGCCCCCGCTCACTCCGGACTGGAAAAAGAAGGTTAGGAAAGCGAAGGATTCCAGCCCGAGCGCCGCTCCAGCCACCCGAGTCCCCCAGCTCTTGGCCTTGACCAAAAGTGCTCTACCGCGTCTGCAGCTTTGTCATTTGTCAACGTGCGCTACAGCTGTTTTCTAAAATCACACTCATGAGAAAAAATAAAGGCAACATTCATGCTGCCACAGAAAGGGTTCTTTGTTCACTCACCAATTAATTTGCTAATGTCGCCTTGGGGGGAATTATTTACTATTTCAAGCTATATTTAGCATATTTTACCGAAAACTTGAGAATTTTAAAGGCTAGGATTTTTAGTGTGATCTTTTTTAAAGGAAGTTACATATGGGGGTTTAACGTGTTGGTGAGTTAGCAGACCAACTGAAACAGAATGATCATGTGAATACAAAGATACTTTAGACTCTTTAATAATAATGCACTGAAGTAAAGGTTTTGAATATTCCCAGCGTGCCTCAAACTACCTCAATACAAACGAACACTGGAATCCACTTACTAACACCGAAATGGGCCAGGGATTACTCGGGAGTTAGACTCCTCCATGCAGTATTAAAATTCTTACCAGTACCCTGCTCTGTGTTGAAAAGAGTTGCTTATCCTTTTTTCTATTTATTTTTCCCTTCTGTAAAAATTGGACTGTTTCTTTTCTCAATTGAGCTGTTTTGAGGGTATGAAAGGGGGGTTATTGAGTAGGGCAGTAAAAAGACTAGGATAACAGCTGACATGCTCAGTTGAAAGCAGTTTAATACTTTCTCTTGCTCAGAGAGAATGTAATGAGACATTCTTTATATGGTCACTGATTTTTTTAAAAAATCTGATTTCCCTTTGCATTCTGTATGATTTCTCTTTGAGTCTCTAGAACCTAAACCGTCCTTAAAAATTTCAGCTTGCAGGATCACCTTTTATCTTGGGTTAATAGAAAATATATTTTCTCATCAGTCTCTTCCACAAACCCACAAGTGAAAAACAGACACTAGAATGGATGCATGGATAAAGGAAATGTGGTATATACATGCAATGGATGATTAGCCTTTAAAAAAAGAAGAAAATTCCTTCATTAACTACAACATGGATGAACCTTGAGGACCTTGTACTAAGTGGAATCAGCCAGTTGTAAATCACAAAAAGTGATTCCATTTATATGAGGTATCTAAAGTAGTCAAACTCTTAGAAAGTAGAATAATTGTTATTACCAGGGGCTGAGGAGAGGGGAAAAGGGTAGTTATTCCACAGGTTTAGAGTTTCAGGTTTGCGGGATGAAAAAGTTAACAGAGATCTGTTGCACGTGGTGCACGTATAGTTCACACTACTGAACACTAGAAAATGATTAACATGGTAAATATTGTTATATGATGATATACAAATAATACAAAAATGAAACAAAAAAGACACCAAAATTGTTGACAACTGGGAAGTGTCAAGAAGGGAGAAAGTATTCATTTTTTCCTTAGTTACTCAATATGTGAGCCAAGCTTGTCCTGTGTAGGCATGAAATATCCCAAGATTTGTTAAGACTGGTCCTTGACCTCAAGAACCTAAGGCAATTTGTTACCAGGAAGGGGTCCCCAATCCAGTCCCCTAGAGCGCTTGGACCTTGAGCGAAGAATTCAGGGCAAGTCCATGAAGTAAAACAAGTTTATCAAGAAAACAAAGGAATGAAGGAATGACTACTCTGTTGGCAGAGCAGTGTCATGGGCTACTCGACTGAGTGTACTTATAATTATTTCTTGATTATATGCTAAACAAGGGTGGGTTATTCATGAGTTTTCCTGGAAAGGGTGGGCAGTTCCCAGAACTGAGAATTCCTCCCCTTTTTAGACCATATAGGGTAACTTCCTGACCTTGCCATGGCATTTGTATGTTGTCATGGTGCTGATGGGAGTGTCTTTTAACATTCTAATGTATTATAATTAGCATATAATGAGCAGTGAGGATGACCAGAGGTCACTTTCCCCACCATCTTGGTTTTGGTGGATTTTGGCTGGCTTCTTTAGTGCGTTCTGTTTTATCAGCAAGGTCTTTGGACCTGTATCTTGTGCTGACTTCCTGTCTTATCCTGTGGCTAAGAACGCCTAACCCCTGGATTGCAGCCCAGTAGGTTTCAGCCTTAGTGTACCCAGCCCCTACTCAAGATGGAGTGACTCTGGTTTAAATGCCTCTGACGTATTAATTAGTTTGTGCATATTAGCACACTCAATCCTTTTCAAAACATTCTAGTTCCTTAAGTGACTATGACACAGGCCTATGCAGTCAGTAAAATAGGTACAAAATAAAAGATAAAGTTCAGTGAATGTTGAGAAGAGTTCTGTGCTTTCTATGTCAGACAGAAGTTCGTAGAGGAAGTAAACATTGTCTTAGGTCTTAAAAGATTAAGAGTTTGTTAGATCTGGAGGAAGAAACAGTTAGAAGGGAAGGAGTATTTGAAAGAACTGGACAGACATCACATGCAAAACTATAAAGACATGGAAGATCATAGCCTGTCCTAGGAACAGACAGAGGTGAAGTTAGTGCTGGCATGAAGACTTCTATATTAAAGTAGGCAGAAAAAAGAGTGGTGGATTGAGCTACAGATTGAGAATCTGGTACAAAGCTACAGATTGAGAATCTGGTACAAAGCCTGGTAACATACTCACCCAACCTGTTTTCTTTTCTAAGGTAGCTAAATGACAGTTCTCAAACTTTGTGCATATAGGAAGAGCCACATGATTAGTTCTCGTCAACAGAATATGATCCCTGTTGAGCATTAAAGAAGAGTGTCTCTCCATTCTCTTTTATCTTCCTGTTCCAACCACATGAAGTCAGGTCAACCTTGAAGCCAGGTGTTTGAAGCCATTAGCACTGCCGTATGGAACCAATCTTTGAATGACTAGTTAGAGCAGAGCCTTCTCACAGCATGCGTTGTACTGTGATTGGAGTGAGAAATAGATCTTCAGTGAGTGGAGCCAGACATTTTGAGGTCAATTATTACAGCAGCTACTGTTATTTATCTTGGCAAAAAGAATATCACAGATGGTCCATTTCCTGATATCTTAAAGATCTTTTCATAATTTTCTTATGACCTCTTTTTTCTGGCCATTTCCCTTTTATTTGGTTTGTGTATTTGTAGTTTCTCTCATTAGCATATTTTAAAAACTTTATTTTACCAGTGTTAACAGAACGGATATCACATGTCTTCCAACCTCAAGGTCACTGGGGAACACACAGGAAAGGCTTCCAACCCAAGCAATATTTTTTTCCTATTTCAGTGGCTAAAATGCCACCATTTTGCATTCACTCTATTAGATGTTGTTGTCCCTAAATAAGATGTAACATAAGGTACAGTGAGGACATGTAAAGTAGTTTGGTGGTCTATTACTAGTCCCCAAATTGTGAATATTCATATACTAGCTATTAAAAAATATTTTGGTTCCTCAACAGCTGGAGAGGAAGCAAGTGTTGGTGAGGGCAGGCCTAGAGATCTAGGCTTAGCAGATGATCTTTTCCAACTATGTTTCAAGAAAAACTAGGTTTCCATAGAAGTTTAGGAGGTGGCAGAAAAAGAGTAGGCAGTGAGATCTGAACTCTGACACCGCATCTTAAAGCCAATTAGAGCAGTCTTATTGCTATCTTTAAAAAAAAAAATTAAACTTTCATATTCATTTTCATTAAAAAGATGGGTTTTCTAAGGTTAAAAACAAACATAAGTTTTAACACCACTTATCTAGGGCCAGAGTCTTCAAGGTGGGGTACAGAAGATGATCCCTGAAATTCCAGAATAAACTTCTAACCACAAACTTTTTTTTATTTACCAAAAAAATAAAAAATAAAAGGGAGAAACAAATTAAGCTTTACTAATAATGTCGGGATTGGTGCTGGTACCCCAGGTTGACCAGTAAGTGAGCTGACAGAAGGAATGTTGGGGGGCGTGGCAGCAGCAGGATGCACAGTGAGGGGTGGGGGAGGGCTGCCTCCTTTGTTCACTTTCAACATATTGCCACATGTTGCAGTTTCTGTACCTAAGGGGATTTACGAATGATATTAAGGAAACTACTGTTAGAGCAGGAACCAAGGGAGACTGTTAAAAATGCAAGAACAAGCAAACACAACCAGCCAAGCTGACGTTTCTGACACTCCTCTGGACCCACATTGCAAGGTAAAAAACCAATGACTCATCAGATTTGCCAAGAAGTTGACCATAATAATGGATTATAAAGAACACTTTTAAGTATGAATTTACAACCATTCTTGCTAACATTGATTTCACCCTAAGTGCATATTATAGTTAATAGACAATAATATTCTGAACCAACTGCAATTAGCTAGCAATGTAAAAACTAAGTATCAAAGTATTGAAGGCAAACTCAACAATGTTTCTAGCACGTTTAAGTAGTATACTATACATGAGTCAAAACTTTCAAGAAAAGTCACCAAGAATAAATGCTACAGAGTCTCTTCAGAGCTTTCTTAAAAATCAAAGTCAAAAAGCCACACACTCTTGGGGAAATAGTTTTCTTCTTGCCAGGATAAAAATATCTGAAATAATACATAGAACACAAATGGAAAACAAACAAACAAACAAACAAACCCTGCATTCCTTTGTCAGCAAATACCTTGAGGATATTCATATAAATTTTTGCTAAACATCAAGTCATAAGTATTTGAACAAGTTAAACAATGTGGGAAGTTTACTATAAGGTTAAACTGAAAGGACAGATGTTCTTAATATGTTCCACTTTATGGTATTTGAGAAATTCAGTGTGGTATTTATTACATTGTGTTTCAATACATTAATCACATTTTGAAATGACTTTTTTTTGTGACCCACTAAAGAAGAGCTGTAGTAGAGAAGACATTTTCTCTTCTACATCTTTTGACAATGCTGTAAACAATAATTGACTGTTTAAAAGGAAAAACTGTGTTTTATGCAAAACTTGTTTACCTGTAACCACTGATGGATTCGTTGTTTTGACTAAACATTTTTTTTTTTAAAGAAAAGAATTCCAAGCTAACACTACAATGAGAACAACCACATGAAATTCATTCACAGCATATTTCATATGCAATTTATTCTAACAAAGAAGCTGGAGCCAGAATACGCAACATTGTAAGAGGTTATACAAATGGTTAATTTTGTAGAAACAAGAATTTTGTAGCAGCTTGAAACAAAAGTTTTTGTTGTGCAATGTAACACACATACAGAAAAGTGCAGAAAAGCTATGCACATGATTTAATAAATATAAAATAAACATTACTGAAGTCTTTGGGGCCAAAAATTAGAGCATTATCAGTGCTCATGCAAAGGTGTGTGCATGTGTGTGTGTACACACATGGCACCCCTCTTCAGCTACAGACCTCTTCTTCTTTTCCTCAGAGGTTATAATGAGCCTGGCTTTTGGAATGCTTATTCGTTTTTCATTGTATTTTTACTACCTATATGTGCATTCCTAAACAGCTATTTTGGTTTTGCTTCTTTTTGAATTCTAAGTGGGATCACACTGGATGTATTTGTGTCTTGATTCTTTTATTCATCAACATTTGTAAGATTCAGTTGTGTTGATGTAGCTGTGGTTTGTTTGTTTTTCTCCTTTTCATTGCTGAATAGCATCCAATGAAAATACATGCCACCATTTATTTATCCATTCCATTGTAGATAGACTCATGGGCTATTCCCAGTTTTTGCCTATTATAAACAAAGCTGCTAGGATCACTTTTTCTCCAAAATATTGTATGTATGTTGGTGCGCCAGGTCACATGGCATGTGTATGTCCAACTTTCTACGCATAATTATTTTTTTAAGACATGGGGTCTCACTTTGTTGACCAGGCTAGACTCAATTGATTCTCCCACCTCAACCTCCCAAGTAGCTGGGATACAGCCACATGCCCAGCTCCTTAATTCTTTGTATACTTAAGTGTATTTACTATGTGCCAGGCATTACATTAAGTGCTTTGCAAATATTGACTCATTTAATTATCACAGCCACCCTATGGAGTAGGTTCTATTACTATCCTAATTTACTGGAGAGAAAATTGGGCACAAAGAGATTAAGAAACTTGCCCACCTGAAAAAAGAGGCCAGAAACTTGAGGATCAGCTGAGGTCAGGAGTTTGAAACCAGCCTGGTGAACATGGTGAAACCCCGTCTCTACTAAAAATTAAAAAATTAGCCAAGGGTGCTGGCTGGACCCTGTAATCCCAGCTACCCAAGTGGTGAGTAGAGGAGCTGGGATACCAATTCAGACAACTGGCCCCAGGGTCTGTACCCTTACCCACTGTTTGAAACTGTCTCCTTCATTATGTAATGTTTGTGATTGAAAACAATGCATGTAACCTATAAAAACTCTTCTATCTTAGAGAAATTTCTGACTCCCTAAACGTTTTCCAAATATAATTTCAGTCCATTTTTAAACTATGTGTTAAACATGTAAAAAATTTAATACATTTCTGATTAGGTTCAGAAACAGATGAGTAACATTTTACAAGAGGGAAATGTATTCATCAAATATCAACCAAAATCTTTGCATAATGGGACTAAAAAATGAGAACCATGAAGCAGTTCTTCCATTAAATTCCACGTAACTTTTTAAGCTCTTTCAGAGAGCCTTAAAATAAACTGAACATAAAACCAGATATCTGTATTGGTGTGCCATGAAGTATAAACCAAGATTTTAAAATGAGACATGTTCAATTATCCTTCTCTCTGTAAAGCTTTATTGACAATAACTTTTGAGAGGAAAATTTATTTGTATCATTATTAATACATTATACTATGATTGACTTGATCTTTACCTCATCTATTAAAAATTGTCTATTTGTGTTTTGTTGTATTCATAGTAATATATGCATGTAATTTAGAAGGCCCTTGGGAGTGTGCTCACATTGTTTTCTGATGGGGTACTCGGTTCAGAAACTTTGAAGGCTCCTGGCTGGTGCCTTGAGCTGTGCTCTGGAGGAGAAATGTAGAAGGACAGCGCAGTGAAGCTGGGGCTGCCAGGATGCAGAACATGGCTCTGGGGCTGGCTGCTGTGGTAAGGGAGGCTGCGAAACAGGAAGTAAAGGAGAAATAGCGAAAAGCAACACAGAGAAGCTCCAGACCCACTTACCTAGAAATCAGCTCTGTGAAAAATGTATTTGTATTGTTTTAACTAATCTAATGAGAGAGAAGGTTTGCAAATTTACCCAAAAATTATAAAATTGAAGATTAGCTTTTTTTTTTTTTTAAAGAGTTTGCGCGTAATTCATGAGAGTGACCTAAGCAAAGTCGTTCATCAGGGCCAATAACCTTTCAGTCAGTGTTCAACAAACTTGGCTTTACTCATTTTATTCCCTGGGTGAATCTTCCCAGAGAAGAAGCCTACAGTCGTCTTCTAAATTGTTGATTTATTTTAAATTGCAAGGCTGTAATCTCAACTGTGTTTGGAGAAGCTGAAGTGAGAATCTAGAACAAGCTTGTCCAACCTGCGGTCTGTGGGCCACATGTGGCCTAGGACAGCTTTGAATGTGGCCCAACACAATTTTTTTAACTTTCTTAAAACATTATGAGACTTTTCTTTTGCTATCTGATTTTTTTTTTTTTTTTTTTTTTAAGTTAACCAGCTATCATTAGTGTTAGTGTATTTTATGTGTGGTCCAAGACAATTTTCTTTCAGTGTGGCCCAGGGAAGCCCTGATCTAGAATGTTCTGTACATGTGAAATCCAACTATCCTAAACTCTTTCTGAAAATGTCTATGTTTGCTTCTTTGAACTTCTGTTATCCACCCACCTCCATCATTGTGCTCAGTGATGTTTCCTAAACAACTGTTTGGTTTTGCAGTTAAAATATTACTTTAAAATACCACAACACATGTTTCTTTGCATCAGAACTGCCTGTTTCTATTAGCATTTTTCAAAGGGTTGAACTCCAAAGAAATCTGGTAATTTGGCCTCTAATATGCCTGCTCTGTTACTTAGTTCTTGAAAAGCAATCGTACTATTCTAGGCCGGGCACAGTGGCTCACACCTGTAATCCTAGCACTTTGGGAAGCCAAGAGGGGAGGATCATCTGAGGTCAGGAGTTCAAGACCAGCCTGGCCAACATGGTGAAACCCAGCCTCTACTAAAAATACAAAATTTAGCCAGGCATGGTGGCAGGAGCCTGTTGTCCCAGCTACTCAGGAGGCTGAGGCAGGAGAATCCCTTGAACCTGGGAGGCAGAGGTATCAGTGAACCAAGATTGCACCACTGAACCGCTGCCTGAGCAACAGAGCAAGATTCCATCTCAAAAAAAACAAAAACAAAAACAAAACAACTTTGAAAAATTATAAAATACCAGTGGCTGGCGGAGGCGTGGCCCGGGCACTGCAGCCTTGCCTGGCGGGGCTCACGCAGCTGCCCCGCGCCCAGCCGGGCTCGGGTAGGGGACGCCTAGGGTCCGGCAGGCCCGGCTGTGCTGCTGGAAACACAGGACGCGCTGCACGTGGCGCTGGAGCTGGTCATCGCCGCTCTGTCGCTGGCAGGCAATGTGCTGGTGTTGGCCGCGGTGGGCACGGCGAGCTCGCTGCAGACGCCCACCAACTACTTCCTGGTGTCCCTGGCTGCGGCCTCGGCCGTGGGGCTCTTCGCTATCCCCTTTGCTATCACCGTCAGCCTGGGCTTCTGCACTGACTCCTGTGGCTGCCTCTTCCTCAAGCAGAGCTCCATCTTCAGTCTCCTGTCCGTGGCAGTCGACAGGGACCTGGCCGTCTGTGTCCCGCTCAGGTATAAAAGTTTGGTCACTGGGACCCGAGCAAGAGGGGTCATTGCTGTCCTCTGGGTCCTTGCCTTTGGCATCGGATTGACACCATTCCTGGGGTGGAACAGTAAAGACAGTGCCACCAGCAACTGCCCAGAGCCCTGGGATGGAACCATGAATGAAAGCTGCTGCCTTGTGAAGTGTCTCTTTGAGAATGTGGTCCCCATGAGCTACATGATGTATTTCAATTTCTTTGGGTGTGTTCTGCTCCCTCCCCTTATAATGCTGGTGATCTACATCAAGATCTTCATGGTGGCCTGCAGGCAGCTTCAGCGCACTGAGCTGATGGACCACTCGAGGACTACCCTCCAGTGGGAGACCCACGCGGCCAAATCCCTAGCCATGATTGTGGGGATTTTTGCCCTGTGCTGGCTACCAGTGCATGCCGTTAACTGTCTCACTCTTTTCCAGCCAGCTCAGGGTAAAAATAAGCCCAAGTGGGCAATGAATATGGCCATTCTTCTGTCACATGCCAATTCGGTTGTCAATCCTATTGTCTGTGCTTACGGGAACCGAGACTTCCGCTATACTTTTCACAAAATTATCTCCAGGTATCTTCTCTGCCAAATAGATGTCAAGAGTGGGAATGGTCAGATGGGCACAGCCTGCTCTCGGTGTGGGCCTGTGATCTAGGCTCTGGCCTCTTCAAGGAGAAGATACAAATCCACAATAAACAGAGGACATGGCTGGAGGAGTCTTACTGTGAAAGATAGCTACACCTCACAAGGAAATGGACTGCCTCTCCTGAGTACTTCCCTGGCGCTACCACATGTCTAGCTAATATGTATGTGTCACTAGTAGGCTCCAAGGGTTGACAAATATATTTATGATCTATTCAGCTGCTTTTACTGTGTGGATGATGCTGACAGCTTGAACGGATTCTAACAGACAGTTTTGTTTTTAAAAGTCTGCCTTGTTTATGGTGGAAAATTACTGAAATTATTTTACTGTGAAACACTGTGAGCTATTATAATGCAAATATTTTTTAACTTAGAAGCAATGGAAAAATAAAAGTTGGTTGTACTACAAATGTATACTTGCTCCTAGGAAGGTGACTTCAAAAATTAAAATATAATTTTTTGGCCAGGAATGGTTGCTCACGCCTGTAATCCCAGCACTTTGGGAGGCCAAGGCGGTTGGATTACGAGGTCACGAGTTCGAGACAAGCCTGTCCAATGTGGTGAAAACACATCTCTACTAAAAAATACAAAAATCAGCTGGGCGTAGTGGTGTGTGCCTGTAGTCCCAGTCCCAGCTACTCAGGAGGCTGAGGCAGGAGAATCGCTTGAACCTGAGAAGCAGAGGTTGCACTGAGCCGAGATCACCCTGTGTACTCCAGCAGGTGACAGAGACTTCCATCTCAAAAAAAAAAGTATAATTATTCAATCAAGAAACTGCTGTATTAATTTAAGGAAATGATAGTCTCATAAGTTAAGTCAAATTTTAACCTCCATTCTTTTCCATATTTAGAAAACTACCCTAGGGAAAAAAGCTGGTGAAATGGGATCCCTCCTCTACCAAATTCTGCCTTATAGAGCTAGGTAGGGAACTTTGCTTTGCTCCAAAGTTCAAGTTTGATTAAGTTCTTAGAATCCAAAGGGTGAAAATTTTACTAAGCAAAATTATTTAACTCTGTGTGTATATGAGGTTAAATAAAAATACAACTTAGAAAAGAAATTATAAAATACCACCCCCAGGAATGTGTATAAATAAATACAAGTGTTATTATCAAGCATCATCGATTGTGTATCATGTAGTTATGCGTAATTTTTTTTTTGAAGTTTTCTGTTTGTAGTCATACAGAAATATATGTTAGAGTTAAGCGGTATAACACTCTGCTGGTATATCTTATTTTCAAGGAACTCTTATTATGTTAAAAAATAGATTTTGTTCAGTATTGTTACAATCCAGGTCGTGTTTTAACTGTAGTAAAAGCCTTCCTCATTTCCTGCACTTCCTTTGCTTCCTGCATTGTTTACATGCATTTCTGCTGTGGCCATCTGTTGGGTACTATCCCAACTGACACATTTTACAAATATGCTTTGACTTGTTCTCCTTTTTTATTCAAAAGCTATCACAAATCACCTCCCTTGACCTCATCTGCCCTCACACAATACATTTCGTTCTTCTTTTTCTCAACTTGTTTATAACTTTTCACTTCTCACTCTATAAATCCTGTCTGCAGTTAAAAACTTGATTTTACAGGTAATATTAATTGAAATTTTCTGAGAGTTTTTTGTTTGTTTGTTTTTTTGAGAAAAGCCCTGCTAATGCCATTATATATTAGGTTGGCAGCTTCTACCCCTCATGAATAGTCCTTTTGGCATTCTAATAGATCATGTAGCTGAAACATTTAACAATTTTTGGCTTAAGGACTTTTTTTTACTTTTTTTTTTTTTTCTGCTTGACATCCTCGCCTGAGATTCCCTTGTACACATTCTTACTTATTCTGATCTTCATGTTCCTTTTTTTTTTAATGCTGTCTCTCAGTAGAATCAGATATTCCTCTTTAGAGCTCTTTAAATATTTAAAATATTAAGCTAAGACTTCAGTAATATCTCCGATTGATATTCTTTCCTCTTCTATCTTCAAATTGAAACGTATGGATTTGTGTAATCGTACCATCTCTCCAGCTATACTACTAGTTTCTTTCCCCTGGCTAAGATCTGTTTAGCCAGATCCAAACCCCCTTCCCAGTCAGTAACTGTCACAATGCCGACAAGGCCCATTCTGTTTTTGCTAATGAGGGAGCTTGTTCAGTGTTCATCTTCAACATGTTCTCGTGTTACCAGCTCCCTCCAGTTCTAGGACCTGGGTAAGACAAGGGCAGTCTCCATCTACATTAAAAGACATTTAGACCTTTCTCAGTGATAATTATGGACAGCCAAGCATAGGTGCTTCTAGACTAATCTCAGTGGCAAGCAGAACTTTTTAAACTTCTCCACTAAATTAGAGATACCTGAACAAAGCCTCCAATATTCCCATCCCTAAACTCCCATTCAGGCTGCAACTTAAGTAGTGCTGTGCAAGCCCTGATTTCTTCAGAGTCTTCTTGAGGTTTTTGCCTATGTGTTATGGTATATCCTCATTGATTTAATATAAAATTAAGGATTAATTACCACTGGGTAAAATTGAAGAATGTGCCATGTTTATACTGTGACTTTTAAATACTTTGGTTTACTACTATAGAAATTGACAAATCATAAGAAGAACCTATTAAATTCTTCGGAGCCAGAAAATCCTTTTCTTCAGTAAAATATGGTAACAAATGACATTTTGTTGAACAAGTTAGTTCAAAACTCTTTGTAGGTGCACACACAAAAAAAGAATAATCAGTCATTGTTCCTAGAATGTTTTCCTATTGGCAAAACTCTGTTTTTACTGATTATTATGTCTAACTCTTCCAAATCATGGGAAAAGTTTATGAGTCAATCAATGAATATAAAGAATGAGACACTCAGAAATGTATAGCCCTGGTGTAACATAAGAAGCAGTGAAGTATGATGTAATAAAAACAAAACAAAGCAGACAAAAAAAGAGCAGAGTTTACTTTGCTTTGTTGTTTCAGCACAAGCATTTTAGTACTCAATAGCTGTAGTCTTGAAATGGAACAGTCTGTTACTAGGCCACTACCCACAAACATCCACAAATTGTACACTATTAGTAACTCTCCATGCTAGACTCTAGAATTAGGAAATATTTTCAGCCAATGTATTTTATTAACTCACTATGATCTAATATAAATTCTTCATTCCTTTTGCATTAACTATGATTACAACAATGTTTTGCTAATGATCCCCATCATGATCTCAAAGATTTTTATTGCAGGAAGTGAAATTGATCTAAATAGAGTCGCTATTCAAAACAATCCAGCTAGAAATGTCATGGGGAGAGGCCATCTGGGCTGCTTAGGCTGGCCTCAGGATGACATTGCCTGTTAAGTCACATTATCTCATTCTTCAGTTTTGCAAGCCCAGAAACTTTATTTTGTCAAGGTGCCCAAGGTTGATCACACTCAGGGGACTAGGTTTGTGCCAACTCAATGCATAAGAGGCCAGTGTGTAAGTTAGAATACTATTTTTCTCATTTGTAATGGGACTCTTGACTATTAATGGGGTAGAAACTTACAATAGGTAGCAAACACTGTCTTCCCTTATAGGAAAGTCTTCATGGGAAGTCCATTATCATCTTTTCAGTTCAATAAACATTTATTAAACACCAAGAGTACAGGTCATTTTGATCCCAAGGATGTTTTGCATCTAAAAACACTTTTATTAGAACTGTACTGACACTGAGTTATCACGGAGAGACATCATTTCCAGAGCAAACTGCATCAAGCCAATTTACGCCTTGACCAATTTTCTAAAATTTTATCTTCTGATTGGCAGATTCAACCATTTAGGAAAGACTGTTGATCTAGCTGCATTAACTACAAAGATCATCCAAGAGCCACAGTCACAAAGCCAGTCTCTGAATATGGTTCTTCAAAGAAATCTTACAACTCTCTGAACAGGCATGGAAATAATTGCATGTAATGCACATATGCTTTTTACTATTAGATTTTCTTAACAAGTAGTGATGTGAAAAGTTGAAATCTCCAGAGCTAGACCAATACTGCTCATTACCCAGTATCAGGGTATTACTAAAATGAATTCTTGAAAATTTTATAGCCAGTTTAACCTAACTTGCCCCATTCCCTGATAGCCTTGTTAAGGGCCCAGCTGTAACTTACCTTGGCCATCCAGGTTTACCCATGCTTTGCTTCCTGCCAAATCTTTCTAGTTCACCTTCTGGAATGCCAATCTGGGTAGAGAGGGAGAACCAGACAGTTACTCTTTCATCCTCCTGAAGCACGTTCTTCTGAGATTCAAGAAAGACATTTACTATACTCCCATCTCTCTCTCCTGTTGCTGTCATTTAGCCAACTCCCAAACACCTAACTTAATGCTTCTCAACACACACATTGTTCATTAAACGCCAGTATCTAGCCTCTTTCTCTCAACCCCAGATATGTCCATGGTCCTTCATGATCTCAATGTCCTCATGAACTCCTTTTCAAGATCTCAGCCTCTTTTTCCATGATGACCTTCACTTCCACTCCACTTCATGCTTCCTTATCATGGGCAGACTCTGAATAATATTACTGCCTGCAGTAGCTCCACATCGAAACACTGCATTCAAATATCCAACAACCTGGACAAGCAGCCTTCTACTCTGTTTCCATCATCTGGTTGCTCCCTGCTTGTGCTCTTCTGGGACCTCCTAACTCTTGATCCTCCTGCTTTCTCCCTCTCTGGTAACCCTCTTCTGTCTTCGTTTTCTTCCCTATCTAACTGAGGTTTCATGTTGTAGCTCTTGTCTCTATTCTCATAGCCCTTGTTCTATTGTTTTTCAGTCCAAAACCCCAACCCTGGAACAACCCTAGTGTGTGATTTTTCAATACCCATATGTGTGTTGTAAAATATTGCTGTAGAAAATCGCAAAATAATGCATATTGTTGGCACTATAAATTCATGGCCTCCAACTTCAATTGGGCATTTGGTATTGCCTGGCCCTCCAGAGTGTTTCAAGCCTTCTCACTTATCTCTGTCTCTAACTTTGATATCTCTTCCCTCAGTCTCGTGTTTTCTGTCACAGAAAAAACAGAGGCATCAGCTGGGAAACGTCCCTCAGCTTCCCACAACTAAGCTAACACATTTGCACGTAGCCACATCCATTCTTTTCTTT